TCATATCCCTGTGTCTGTGGGCTCGTCGTTAATGTCCCCATGTCTGTGGGCTCGACGTTAATGTCCCTGTGTCTGTGTGTTTGTACCTGTCCCTGTGTCTGTGTGTTTGATTGTGCCCTTGTGTCTTTGTGTACTGTATGTTCTTGTCCCTGTGTCTGTGGATGAGCAGCACGTGTGGGATGAGCTGGAGCAGTGGCACTCTAGGGTCGCCACTCTGGAGGCGGACGTGCAGGAGCTCTCTGTGGACTATCCCGATCAGGCCCATCAGATGATGGACAACTTAATGGAGCCCCTGCAGCTCTACCAGAATGTGGCAAAGCAGGCAGAGCAGCGGACTGCCCTGCTCCGCAAGGTGAGGGGGTCTTGGTAACTCTCCCTGTGCAACAAAGTCAGAGGGTGACAGGAGATGTGGGAGGAGAATAAGTCTGGGGTTTTAAAGGCAGGTGTTTACAGGACTGGTTGACATTGTGTCATTGTGTTGTTCTATCTTTGTGGTGGAGTGCTCTCTGCTGGTGTTGAGAAGCATGCAGCTTTTAATATGCACCTTCAGGAAGTCTTAGGACATAGAATATAGACTCTGGAACAGTAGGCTGAGGAGTCTGTGGTTTTTATATTGGTGGGTTTCATATGAGTGCTTTAAGAAATGTATCCAAGCACCACTTCAGAATGCAGTAATGCAAACATTACAGAGCAGAGTTTGGAGCAAGGTTTTCATCACAGCGGATTTACAGGACAAAGGTGGCCTTAGGTGCTATTATTCTAAATGAAGTAGATGGGCGGAATGGCCACCACTCATTTGCAATCTTTCTTGTGTTGTGTTCATCCTTGGCCCTGCAGACCACCTCCTCCCTGCAGGAATTTGATGAGATGATCAGTAATACCAACAGCTGGCTCAGCGAGGCTCTACCCTGGCTATCTGCACCTTACTCCTACAGCTCTGCAAAGTGTCTCAGCAGGCACGTTAATGCTTTGCAGGTGAGTCTGCAGATTATAATCGTTAATACCGTTTGCTGCTGTGTTTTCATTGCTTGCCAGATGGATTATTAGCAGTAGTCTGTCACACCTACTAAGAGCGTTCTTTGCAGCTGATGGAATTAGTTCTGTTCTTGAAGTAGTGCTTTTTTAATAGGTGCCGACAGTACTGTCAAGGGTGAGCTTGTGTGGGAGAAAATACAGTTTAATGAGTGAGTTTGGGAGCACTCTGTGGTTGGCATTCAGGAGGCATGCATTCAGGCTGCTTCAGGATTTCTCTGTCTGCATGCTGAGAGCTACAGCAGGTGTTGCCCTGCCACTTGCAGATGGTGCTGGCTGACTCTGAGCAGAGGAGGAAGAGCCTGCAGGACTTCCGACCCCTGCTGCAGGAGATCTCCACAGTGTGCGACACTGCTGCCATGGAGGAACAGCTGAGCCGGACGGACCAGCGCATCGCCTCCCTTCAACAGGGCATCCAGGAGCGTCTGCCCCAGCTCCAGCACGCCTGCACGGTGAGCCCCCGTCCAGCATGGCCACACCACTCTCCCTTCTGGGCAGTTAGGACTCTGCTCATCGCAAAGACCTGGACAGACAGTAGTGCTCTGTTGTTGGCTTTCTCTTTCTATCCTTAGCGCCTCTGGAAGAACTTCCTGGGTCTTGGCAAAAAGTATTGAAAAAGAAAACTGTTTGTTTTTTTAACACTGGTAGTGCCCATTGCATAAGGATAATTTAATTCCAGGAAGATTCGATTCTAAAGCATGGATTTAATTATCAGTACAGGGGAGAATTAATGGAGACACGTTTCACTTTAGTACCGCGGATGTTTTAGTTTTTGGAATATTTTAGATTGGTAGTTTGATCTTTGATGTTTGATGTGATTTGCGTTTTCAATTGGCTTTATTTTAGGAGCTGGAAGCCATTGAGATGGAAGTTAAGCTGATAGAGAAAAACATCACCAAGATAAGGACCATTCTATCAACCAATGACACCACAGAAATCTCTCCCGAGGAGCACCTGCGCAACCGCCAGGTGAGGATTAAAATGTTACAGCTAAGGGGAAGCCATTCCATTCTAGCTTGTTTGGTAGTTAGTAGGTAACTACTAACCAAGGATCTTATTCAGTGCTTATTCAGTGCTTTCTTGATTGAAGCCAGCTTATCGCCTTCAACACCATGGTTGAGTAGCTTGGTCTATAGTAAGTGCTTGCTGTGCTCGGTTTTAAATGCACTTCCACATAGAGTACCCTTGTTTCTACTTATGTTCCTTGGTTTATGTTTCACTGTTGACTCTGAAGATGTCCACCAGGTTGATTTTTGTCAAAGCCGGTGAAGATTGTGAACAGTTGAATCTTGTAGTCTTCTCTGCTGAAAACTGAAAGGTTTCAGTTCCTTCCAGCATGTCAGTGTAGGCCATTCCCTTAAGAAAGACCACCTGTTTTGCCAGGCAGCTTGTGGCCCTCGTGGCTGCTGACACATCATCCACGTTGAGGCGCTGAGTTTGTCTTGATTTCATTGTAGGTGATCCTAGACAACATCCAGCCCATGAAGAGGACCATAGCTGAGATCAGGGGCTGTAGACCTGGCGTGTCTCTGCCCGAAGGGGCATCGGCAGCCCTGGAGGTTTTTGATAGGGCCGAAGAGCTGCTGCTGCCCATAGAGGAGTTGGAGCAAGTGACCATCCAGCAGAGTGCAGTGCTTAAGGTCTGTCAGACATCTCTCCTGGAGGGCCTGCTGCATTTTCAAAACACAAATGATCATACAGTACATTACTGGAGAGCTGACATTTTCTGATGAATGTAACAAAATTAAGACACACTTTTAGGAGGGCAATTCTGATTTAGAGGTGTGCAATCATAATCTCAGACTTGGTAGCCTCTCACCACTGACTGCTGTGCCAAACATAGACACCAAATGTCTGAACCTGCAGTTCCTCTCTGAGTAGGATTACTCTTGGATATACACCCACTTCATATCCTTGACTTCTCTCCCTTAGGCATGACAAGAAGTTCCTTCAAAGAAGTGGTAGATTAGTCATCTTAGAGTTTCACTGAACTTTCGTTGAGAATGGACTGTGCATCCTCTTGGCAGTTTTGGAAATACAGATTCTCATGTTATAATTTGAACGTTAATATAGCCTTAATGTTAATTCCTCTGTCTTGAGACGAATCACATTTTATGGAACATACAGTAAATTTCGATCTCCTTCTTGGAAAATCTGAATTGGACTGCCCAGCTTAACCAGTACTTATCGTCCAAGCAGAATAAAGCCAACCCTTTATAAATGGATACAAACATAAGGTGCTTTGGATAAAAGTGTTAGCTTTTCATTAATAATAACAAAGTTTGATGTGATGTAAAGGGCATGTTTTTATTTTACTAATTTATTTAGCTGGCCCTTGTTTTGCTTTTTTTATAAAACAACTTACATTTGCACCCATTTATACAGCAGGATATTTTATAGGAACAGTTCAGCTCAAGTAATATGCTTAAGGGTACAACAGCTATGTTGCATAAAGTATTTGAACCCACAACCTTTTTTCCTTTTACAGAACCCTGCACACTGCTGTCTTTTCACTTTGCCAATGTTTTATCATCAAATATTTTCTTCTAGTTGGGATCGTAAAGATTAACATCTCCTCTAATGATTCTCTCACTAGTGTCTGTTTCATCTTGCGGTAAAAGTTTTATGACAGTGAAATATGACAAAAAATAAATCCCGTGTTCTGACTAATGAAAGTCATAAAACAGTTGAGGAGTACTGCCATCTATCTGAAGAAAAGCTGGAATCTAGTGTTGTCTTGGCTTGTCAAACCAATTATATTCAAAAAGGAAATGCTCATAATTAGGAACTTCCTTCTGCAGATTTGTACTGATGATTATGTCCTTGCATTTGCCTATGCATAAACTATTTTAGGTTTTTTTATATTTTGTTATTATTTCTGTAATCAATCAACAACAAACAGCAATCTAAAACAAGAAAAAAACAATCCCTCCTAACATGATTTATTATGTGTAAGAAATCAACTACAGTACGTTATATAGAAATTAGACAAGTGTATGTAATCATTTCTGTTTTATGTGGGGATGTTTTATGAGATGGTTTTCATACTGTCAATGTGAATGTCCTTGTTTTTGAATGTGGAATACAATGATAAAAGCAGTGGAATAAAGCAGACTGAAGACACAGCATGTTGATTTTTGGAAAGACTTGATGCACAGCACAGCAAAGTAATAACTTAGTTTACACACAGTAAAACGGTGGGACAACACATGAAGCTGAGGGTGCCCGTGGGATGATGATGACTGTGGTAGATGATCTCTTTTCAGGTGGCGATTGCACAACTGATGGGACAGCGACAGGACATTCAACAGGAGGGCCCAGGACAGCTCTCTGCAGGCTCTCCGGTGAGCCCCCAGTGTTTACACACCCCGCCTGGCTAAAGCTCTTAAATAGAACCAGTTCATCAGCTTTTAAAAGAGGAGTAAAAAAAGAAGCCTGAAGCTCCTACTCTAGTCATTGATCAAATAGGTCACTAGACACCACTTGATTGAACACCAGAGCAGTTGCTCACAGGATAAACTAAATACAAAGACTCAAGTCATTTTTCTGTTTTAGGTGCATAAAGCCGAGGAAGAACCATTAATTAGTCCGGAATACCAGGAAGACATTTTAATGAGTTTGCAGGACTCGTTAACAGCTCTAGCAGAAGCTCCACTGGAAGCATGGAGTGAGTCTAAGGAAAGAGCCAACTGGCCAGAAGAGAGCAAGACTTCCCAACCCCAGGTAATACACAGTCACACATTGCATCGCAGGTTCAAACGACACTGTTGAAATCTAATCAATTTGACTTTCTTCTCCAGACCAGGTGTTTTCCAAGTTAATTCTGATTGTTGTTTATCTTATTGTCAAGATCTTAAAGAGAAATTTAGAGCCCTGACCACTTTATTAATATTATTGTGTAGTTCATGTGTATGTGTTGCACGGAACATCGTTCAACAAGTGCTAAACATCGTGTTACCAGATATGTGGAATTGTGTTTCTGAGATAGAAAGTAGGAATAGCACTTGCCAACAGCTGGCTTCACTCGCTGTGTTCCTGGCACTGTCCAGCAGGGGGTAATAGGGGGCCTCTTTCTGAACACATCTCCTGCTGAGGAAGGGGAGGTGGGCAGCGAGGACGAGAGAGGAAGCACCAAGTCCTCGTCTTCGGAAACATTGACTGGGAGTGTTGCCGAGGTAAAGAGAAAAGCATTTGATCTGAACTTTCTCTCTGGCTGATGAGAGAGACATCTCCAGCAGCTTTCCTCCCCTGTGGGCTTGGATCAGGGCATCTGGGTGTGGAGGACAGCTTCACCAGGACTGCGCTGGGGGCTATGCTGCTGTGCTTGAAGCTCTCCTTCTAACAACTTCTCATGCCACCCCTTTCTTCAGGGGGAGTGACCACTGTTTCAGGGATGGACCCCTTCTCGTTCTGTTTGCCATTTGGCTGCGCCCCTCTTTCTTCTTTTTCTGGGTTCTCTTTTACTCATTGATTCATTTTCTGTCGTCTTCTTCCACTGCTGCTGGTGCAGCTGTGTCAACTTATTTTGCTTGTCCCTCCCACCAGTCTTCTCTTTCTATCAATGTTCTTGTTCCTGTTGCTGCTGTTCTGCTGGCCTTTCTTCTTGGGCTCACCTGTTCTGGACTTCTGCTCTTTACGCCTCTAGAATGAAAATGGAGAAAGGGGTGACCTCGCTAAGTCAGCAACCCCTTTCCTCTCTCTCTGACTGAAGAGTTCGCTGTTCAAGACTGATTGAACTGAATCTTGTTTGTCTCCAAAAGAGAAGACAGCAAGGAGACCTGATGCAAGTATTCAATTCCTCAAGGGCACTGACAAAGTCAACTCAGTGGACTTCCTCAGAATAAGCATTACAGCACAAACTGAGGGCACAAGTGAAAACTGTGAGGCAGGGCATTTAAACCCCAGAACAGGAGGTATTCAAAGGGTCGTGGGAGTATGGAACAAGCTAGACAACCATGTGGTTCAAGCTTCATTCAACAATTGGCTGGATGAGATCCCAGGAGCAATTAGATAGGCTGTAGGCTACAGTCAGAGCAGGCGGTGTTGAAGACAGTGAGTATGTCTGTTTGACAGCTGGTGACTGGGACACAGTGGCAGTCTTTGAACCTCCTGCCTATAAACCACAGTATCTGTTCCCTTGGTTAGGACCCCGAGGAGACTTTTATCGGTGAAGAACAGGCTGACGCCCTCGGTCTGGCCTGTGAGGAGATACTTGAGGTCCAGCCTCCACCTGCCATTAAAGTAAGAACTCCTGTCTGTACTGGTTCTTCATCTGAGGAGGATTCACTTTTGACTTATAGTCCTTGATTTTCCTTAATGCAGTGCATGGTTTCCTTTAATGCATTTTGAGTGATAAAGAATTGGGAACTACATACAAATCATTTGCATACTGACTGCATACAGCATACTGACAGTATTCAGTAAATATAGTATATGCTCGTATTAACCTGGCTTGAATGTCATCAGCTGTTAACGTTATGGAGATTAACCTGTGCTTGGAGTAAAGCTTTGCTGTGTTAAAACTATACAGTATGTGAAATCCCAGATTTGTAGATAGTCACTGTAGAGCAATTCTTCACCGTAAATGTGAACTTCAAGTAATGTTTACAATTTTCAAAAGTGCTTTAATCTCAAAATCTCTCTGCAATAATGGGACATCTTTTGCAGGCAGATCCAGACCTCTGGCCTCTGAGGGAGGGAGAGACAGTTCCCAAACAGCTGGACAGATCTGGCACACCTCATGGCACGGTACTGTTCTCATACTGTACATCGTTTTCTGTCTGGATTGGTTCTGTTCTTTTTCAATTGAAGACACTTTCACAAACACACATCAGTAAACAGATCTGATGTACCCGATAACGTTTGTGAGCAATGTTAAATTGTTTAATGTGATATGTTCCTATCTTTAATCTACAATGGTGTGCCCTCCTGCACCATACCACTAACCCCCTGTTCCCTAAAAGGAGCCTGCACCACTGAGATTCCCAACAGCAGAGAAGGAGTTGGCACTGAGACAGAAGGACACCCAGCGTGAGGAGACAGCCAGGACACAGGCCCCACTTCACAGTATGGTAATGTCAGCACCTACTGTATATACTGTGTACAGTAGTTCTACATTGTACTGTATGTGTATACAGTATATGCACACAAAATTGGCTCCACACCACACACAGTTTATAAAGTGTGATATTCAGTTTTGTATGCCAGTTTAAGCTCAACTACAAGTCATTTTAGTTGGGCTAAGTGTTTGCTTTAGTCCTTTGATCAGTGTATAATTTTCAAGTGTTTTGGGGAAAACCAGGTGTGAACACCTGAAGAAGGCTCCACGGCCAAAACGTTGTGTTATCTTTCTTCTTTTTTTCAGCATGGAATAAACCTATTACTTGTTCCTTTGCTAATTACTAATGTCCCTTATCTCAACTATTTCCTCCAGGAGGGACTGAAAGAGCCTGTACATCAGAGTGGAGAGGGCCTGCAGGGTCTGAGGGCCCAAAGCCAGGAGACACTGATGACTGACCCACACCCCCATGAGCTAGCAGTAAGGACACAAACAGCTAGAGGCAGCATGAGCCTGGCTCTGTATAGAACGTTTCACTCCATGGTTTTGAATGGCCTCCACAGTACTATGAAGGGACCTGTCCTGCTCAGCTGGCATGAATGCTGCTGTAGACATCATTGCTATCTTGCATCAAAACCTAGAATGTGCAACTCAAACGTCACCAGCTTTCTTGAACAATATTTATCTGTAATGCTTTCATGGTCTTCCTTGTCCCCTCGTGCACAGTTACCATTTTGTCAAATTTTGTATTCTATCCATTGTGTCAGAAATCAAAATGGTGATGGTCTGTTTCACCTCTTCCCCTTTCGCTATCCTATTATCAGGATCTCCTGGGGCAGGGTGTGGCGGCAGGACACCCGGAGGAGGGTGGGACAGAACAACTAGAGGCTCAGAGCCCAGAGACTCAGCGCACTGCCACACAGCCCCACAGCCCAGGGGTAAGAGTCATTATTGTGAGCCACAGCTGGACACAGGGGCCAACAGAGCCGTTCATCTGATGATGACAGAGACTGTTGCTTCTGCCTATATTGAAAACCTGTTGATTGTAATGAAGCTGGAAAGACTCTTTCAAGGGCCGGAGAAAACAGCACTGGATCATCCAGGCAGTATATGTGAAGGCTTGTCTTATGTTATATGAATATTCAAATTATTTTACATTGAATCGATAAATATTTTAGATCCGCATGGAATTAACGCTGGCAAAATCAGTGATGCATTTCCTACTTTCATCACTTCCCATAGTGTTCTGACCTACTGTATGAGGGCAGGTCAGTAACATTCCTTACACTGTCTGTCTGTGGCCTAGGAGAGACATGGAGCTGCTACAGGCCAGAGTGGAGAGGGCAAGCCTGTGGAGGCCCAGGGCCCAGAGGTGCTGCTCACTGGCACACAGGCCCACAGCCTGCTGGTAAGAAACCTCATTGCTGCACAGTAGAGGTAGCAGGGTGGAGGTCTCTTCTGTGATGCAGCATGGTGATTGTATGAGCACTGCAGTTAAAAGGTGCTGAAGGAGTGTTCCGTAACTGGTCTCCTTATCCTTCTGGCTTTTATCAAAATACTTTAAAATACTCAAAGAACCCACTTCACTTGCATTGCTTGAGCACATTCGAATTTTAAAACATATCCGTAGAGATATACAGTTCTATAATTAATATATATGCATTAATATACTTTAGTTAAATTAAAACCAGATGTCACAACACTGGATGACGTTTTGGAAAAAAATGAAAAACTCCTTTTGTGGCAGTCTTCTGTTAGGAAATATGGTTTTACTCCAGAAAATGTAGACAGTGTCTTGTTGTTTAGATGGTGTCAGTAGTTTTTAAAAATCTGTAGTGAGCAGGAAATGTGTGTCTCATCACTGATTGGGCCTATTTAGAAATGGCTGACTCACAAAGTTAAAAGGTTATTTCTTCTCGTTCAAAATCTGTTGTGTTTACGGCTTTCTCGGTTTCTCAACACAACCCTTAACCTTTCCTGCAACTTTCACGAACGGGAAATGAAGTAATTTGTATAAAAACAAGGGAAAACAAAAACAAAACCTGCATGAGCTCAGACTGGGAAACCAGAGGCGCACTTCCTTCATCCGTGTGTGAGGGGGGGGCTGTTTTCTAAACATTCCTCCAGGTTCCTATCAGGATAGCAGGAATGTAATCGCAGCCAACATGAGAGATAAGCCGCCAGTGTCAGTTACCAGCACCTCAGTCCTTTCTCTTCTGCGCGAGCTGGTGTCTGTACTGAAAGTGTGTCAGTCAACCACATGACCAGGGTGTCATGTAAATGAGTGACTTGGGGCTGCATGCTCTCCCACAGCAGTCTGACTTGTCGCCACGCCCAGCCAGGAAGTGTGGAGTGTCATGGCATTTGGAGGTGAGGGAAGCTGATTTTCAGGTCCGGGCCGGCGCAGTAGTCGGGGGAGCACACCTTTGTTGACCTTCTCGCTTGCGTAACCCGCGCGCCCGTCGCCCCTTGTCTGTCTCTCCCAGGCGCGGACAGGCGAGCGCGCAGAGGCGGGGGGCAGCCCTCCGTGTCTCCGCATGTGCCAGGAGTTCGTCACCCACCTGGAGGTTTGGCTGCAGAGAGCCGGGGACAGCTTCCGGGCTGGGCAGCCTGCCGGGGACATGCAGGGCAGCGTGGAGCAGCAGCTTCTCGGCTGTCAGGTGAGCGCGGCAGGTGAAAGTTCACCCTCTCACCTTGTTGCTGTGTGCCTCCGCGTGTGCTGCGTGTGTTTATGTCAAGCCTGTGGGTCCTGAACTGTATACAGTGCTCTGCCTATGGGAGGATATAGTGGGTGAGCTTCTTGCTATATTTTTAGTAGATTCATTTGTAATAATTAGAATTATTATACTGTCTATGCGTTGTCCCTCAGGTATCTAGTTACCGTTCTTCACAATGCAGCTACTGTTCTTCAAAATGCGTTGTTAAAACATGTGGCACTGTTTTCTTTCTCAATCACAGGACTTTTCCCACAAAGCAGTGTTTCCTCCCAATTTCTGTCTCTCATTTGTTCCAGTCCTGATCAGTTTAGTTCTGTAATAAAATTCCAGGGGGCACTTATTCCTATTCTTTGGATCTGGCCAGAACAAATATTTCTTGGAGGATGCACAAGGCTTCTTCCTTTTCCCTAGCTTGTTCTGTATAGCGGAGACCCACTGCAGTATAATGACAGCTAGTGACAGCTAAATTTTACCTTGGTCGGCGGGATACATACAGGTCATACTGTCATACTAAGGAACTGCAGAGCTTTGCCCTTCTTACCTTGGAGGCACCAGTAAGATTTCTGTATTTGGCCATATACAGCGGCTTGAAAGGAGGGAACAACATTGTTGCAGTGAGTAACACGGCCACAGTATGAGACATAGAGACGTGGCAGGGTTAAGTAAACACAGTCAAGAGCACTGAGAATACAAATGGTGGGTATTTGCTGTAAGGGCAGAGTGTAGTTGTTAAGTGAAAGGCTTAGAAGATAAGCACTCCTGCAGGTCGTGTTTATTAACCTGATGCTCATCAGTTCACAGACACAGAGACACAGCTAACCTTTATCCGTGCGAAAGTTGCTACACTGGGTGACAGTAGAAAATAAATGATCCGATTGGTAAATTTTGATTCAAAGCTGCCAGCTCCTATACCAGGAAATAGTTAAGTTGTTTGCATTATTTAAATTAACAGGGAAAATAATGTTCTGACTGAGCTCTGGTCAAACTGTAAAAAAAATATGCTCGTTTTCTGGCACTGATAGCAAATGTCAAGCTCCTAGACTTAAAGGGCAACAAAAATAAATGTTTTAGATGTGGTTTATTTCTGATAATTAGAAGTGATTTTGTATCGAGGAGTAAGAGAGGGAAAATGGCAACTTTCATCGGTCATCTGCACATCATTTAAAAACATATTCTGACTCCTAGTAAGTGATCATTATGAATAAACAAGATGTGAAATGTACTGGATGTCAAGCAGAAGCTTTTCAAATGAAGTTTTTATTTTGTTACGTGTCGATATGTGAAGCCTCAGCTTCAACAACAGAGACATACTGTATAACTTCCTCTCATGTGGCAGGTTTATATATCTGCAGTTCAGGAAGACGTTGAGAACACAGCGTAGATTAATGGAGCTAATGGAGAGTGGCACTTCTACTGTGCATTAAATGGAGTTTGAAATTCTTGTTTAGAAAGATATCTTACCTGCACATACTGTACACAGATCTTTGAGTTAAAAATAGTTCCTGGGCTGAGGAACATATAGGTCTAAATATGTACGTGTCAGATTGGTACAAGAGGGAACTTAGGCTTGTTATGAGATATTATTGTGAAAAGTAATGTCTAAAGCACACTATAAGACAAATTCCTTTTCTGTAGAATGTCCCTACACACAGGTTCTCTTAAGGAGGCAGTGTTACTAAACCCTGGAAATGTTAAGTGGCTACAGTACAACATACTGAGTAATGATCAAATACACTGCTGTTTCAGTGTCAGCAAGGAAGTTAAATGTGATACAGCCATTAGAAATTTAGGAAGAAAACTTCTATGAGAAACAGAGATTTTGAAGGAAAACAAATATAAAGCAAGTAAAATATCTTCCTTAGAATTAAACAGACAGTAGTCATACTGTAGTTGTCATTCTGTCTTCTTTGGATTTATCATGAGCCTAAGAACAGCAGTGCATTTAGCTATACTCTCCAATTTCATTAGTGGTTATAATATGAAATCCTATATATGTTAATGCATAGTCTGAGAAATACTGTATGTTTTAACCTTTCTTTAAAACTCTGTAAACACAGACCACCCTTCTACAGATTATGGAGGTACAAAAAACTGTTTTGCTGACTCATCCTTCTGTTATGCGTGTTGTCAGATCCTTAGCTGTTTGTTCTCACTATAGAATAATTTGTAAATGCGAAGTGAGTTGGCTGCCTCTTGCTGAGCTCTGGCAGTCTGCAGTGATTTCTCATTAAGAGCTAGTGGACAAACACCAGGCTGATGTCCGGGCTCATTATTCCAGGCAGGATAAAAAATGAGTAAAAAGCTCCTCTGGCATTTGCTTTTAGATCGTCGGTATTCAGTGGCCTTAGTTTGTTGATGTCAAATGGTCAAAATATAATTAGTGGATAGGTGTAATATACATGAATATTCAACTTAAGGTGACCGCATTCACAAGCAGAAAGAGAAACAACTGAGGAGAAAGGAACCGACCAAGAACGAAAAAAGATGCCCTGCATGGGAAGCTCTTGCACAATAACGGAGATCTTTCACCCTGCACTTTGCCTGTTTCCCCTGGTGGGTTAGGAGAAGCTCCTGGAGATCGAGCAGAAGGTGGCTCTCTTGGCGCTCGGGCAGCAGGGCAGCATGGCCAGTGCTCAGGCGGACGTTGAGGCCCTGTCCTGCAGACTGGAGCAGCTCAAGACCAGCCTGGTCACCTTCCAGCAGCTACTGCAGGAGCAGAACCTTCCCAGCCGACTGGCAGGACAGGTACAGAACAGGTCTAGAAAGTGACAGTGAAACACAAACTAAGGGGCACTTCTGGAAACAATTTGGAAGGGCATTTGAAAACAAGAACAGGAGGCAATTGTGTAACAAACTACCCGGCCGTGTTGTTGAAGCTGATATATCGACTTCTTCCAAGAAATGGCTGGATAAGATTTTTGGATCAATTAGCTACTAACTCTCAAACAGGCCAAATGGTCTCTTTTCTCAGCCCAGTACTGAGAAAGGGCAGGAAGGACAAACGGCCTGATATTTACTTACTGATACAGTGGGCTCTGTACAGCAAAACAAACTGCTGAGTACAGGGCTAGCATTCTTTCATCTGCTGTAACTCAGCAGCCGATTTCATTTTACTAATTTAAGCTCTAGAACATCAATAGTGTTTGATTTGAGCATTTTCATTTTTGGGAAGGATTTTAGCTGTGCCGGCCTTTAACTTGCTCCTTTTGTCCCTTAAGTAAAAAAGTGCGTCATGACCAATACTCAACTTCAAAATGTCTCTGACTGCCATGCAGGAGGGGAAGTCGCCTCTTGAGCACCCCCCAGTGGAAGGGAGGCGTCAACAGAGTGCAAGCGTGCAGGAGATGCTGACCTCTACCAGTGGCAAGCTAAGCAGACAGAACAGCCTGCAGCAACAGAGGGTAACACATCCACGGGTCAAAGCGGACCCCTGACCAGCATGTTCACTCGACACAAAACCCTGGCTCGATAAATCAAATAGAGCTGATTCTATGTAAACACTTACTTTTGCATGATTTAAGGAGGAATTACAAGAATTCAAATACCTTAAGTGCTACAGTGTTCATAGTTCCAGCATAATTTGCAGAGATTGAATTCCTGAGAAATGAAAGAGGTATGCAGAAACACCAGAATAATCAGGCACTAAAAAAGTTTCAATGAATCTGAATCTTAAACATTTGTGCACTGCTGCAGTGAAGCAGCCAAGTTAGTTTTCAGTCACATCTCACACTGAATGAGACTGCCCATCTGTCTGCTGATGGTAAGGCAAAGGAAGTAATCAGGACTGGGGGGGGGGAGAGATACAGTTAGCTTGCTAAGCAATGCCTCACCCCTCCAGGTGCTAACATCTCCATTTAGCCCTGATTCAGCTAGCCAACCCCATCCCTCACCAAAACACCTCAGCCCCTTTTCCTTCTTGGCTATCCTTATACACCTCTTAATTAGCCCAGAGGTGTGGCTAATTCCACGCAGAACCTATCCTGAGAGCTCCTTTCCCTGAACTGGAATTTCACTCCCTTTGAATGCTAATTAATCAATCAGGCCAGGCGTGCCTCATTCTACAGGTTTTTCCAATTATCAGGTGGCTCTCTCACAAAGCCACCTCTCTCAATACCTCCCAGAGAAGTCATGCATTGTAACAAGTGTCACTGTTTGTCCTCAAGGCTGAGATAAAGAGTGATTCTGCACTTACTGTGTGTAGCTAATACCAACAGAAGAAACATTGCTTTTCAAGTGGGTAAAACTGTGTGTGAGTAGGGTTGTGTCTATGCATTAGCCTTAGATCTTAAGGTTAAGGTAAGATAAGGTATTGGGTTGTAGTTAAAGCTGGGGCTGGAAATTTGAATACTGTAGGTTGGAGTTGAGGATAATTAAAGGGTTAGGGTTAAGGGTAGGTATGAGTTTAAGGTTAATGCAGGAAGGCAGTATGCTGTATGACAGACACCGCTGCTGTCTCCCCAGGAGCTGGAGCAAGAGCTGAGTGAGCAGAGAGACCTGACCAAGGCCATCGCTCTGCACCACGGGAGGACACGCCTGCACAGCCACTCTGAGCGAGACCCCAGCCAGTCACAAGTCGGCAAGCCTGCTCTCGGGTACGTGGACTGCTCCTGCTGCTAGCCATCACAGGGACAGCCAGGCTCTCTCCTAGTGCTGAGCCTCTTTCCAGAAACAGACGCATGAGGCGATAGAATAAAAGTGAACGTAGTGGATTTTGCGCTTGAGTGAAAAGTAAAGTCTAGTTTGATGTCATGCTAATGCCTTTTTTTTTACACTTTCAAGCTTCAGACTCTTGTTAAAGTAAAATGCTGTGTTTAGAACAGTTTAATGAAGCAAACAGCTGTGGAATTAAACCAGGTTTATTTTTTTAATAAGCTGAATGAGTCAGAACTACTCTGCAGATGACCCCTGGCTTTGCAGTACATGAGGAGGTGTTCCGTGCTTCTTCACTAGATGCCAAGGTAAAGGCCAGAGTCCTGATGAGCCCCCGGCAGGAGTAGAGATGGCTGTGGAGACGTCCGGGGCTAAGTGGCAGCCACTGGAGAGCAAACTAGCTGCAAGACTGACGACGCTGGAGGAACTTGTACGGCAGGATCTGCCGTCACAGGTTAGTCTGGAGTTTTCCCAAGTTGAAAATCAAGTTGAAAAGCAGTACTCAAGCCACGAGGAAAGAAAAAGCAACACACACTCACTGGTGAAAATGGGGCTGCATTTTCCCAGCAAAACCCTATGAGGAGCACATGCAGATTCTCAATTCGAAACGCTCCTGCCTGCAGGTGGTGGTGACAGATGATGGAGTTTCTGCTGCTCACAGCGGCATCGTAAGCAGCCCCAACACCCATGATGTGCAGGAGATACAGGCACTCACCACCCGACTCCGAGAGCTTGGCCACAGTGTACAGTCCATCCCAGCACAGGTGAGGAGACAGAGAGGCATTCCAGCGTGCATGTGAACAGGAGGAGCACTGGTGCAACTCACTGCTTCTTCCTTATCTTTGCCTGCTATTTGTTTCGTCAGCCTCACCCCTCTGAGGAGTCCTGCTCAAAGCTGGATGAGGACCTCTATGACATTTTGACTGGGATTAACCTGTCCCTTGGCAGTATGGAGGACTTGCTGCTCAGTCACTGCGATCTGTCCAGGGAAGACACCCAGCTGCAGATCCCTCAGCTAGAGGCGAGTCTTGTCCCCCCCATCATCCCTAAAAACAGCTGACAGAGCCCAGCCCTGACCCCTGATGAAAGGGAGGTCTAACTGGCCCGTCTTCAGTGTCCTTCATCTAATAAACACTCTGTTGTGCTCAGCAGATGTCTGTATGACATGAAGATCTCTGTTTGCGTACAGTTATTACAGAAATCAGTCACCTATTTAGTCTCAGTCTGAGCACAAAACACAAGACACATCAAAGTCACACCACTGTTATTAAAGAGGAGATAAATAGACTCATCTTTAGGTATTGAAGAGAAGTTTAATGTTTAACTATTAATACATTTACAAAAAGATGGAAAAAAGCCACAATGAGGGCATGGTTGGTGGTCTTTCTCATGTCAGCCATAGAAGTGGAGGTTAAACATCCCACCAGTCCTAAACATTGTGCTATGCCATGCTAGTGCCTGTGAAAGGGGATTCTAGTTGGTCTGTTTGGTGGTTGCAGAGTGTGGCAGCTGATCTGACCAGCCTGGACAGCGAGATGAGCAGCCAGAGAGCAGCTCTGAGCCGCATTGCCAGTCTGGCGGGAGCAGAGGAACCAGAGGTGTCCACCTGCTTGGACCGTCTGCAGTCCTGTCTACCCTTGCTTCTCTTAGCCCTCTCCTCCAGAAAGAGAAAGCTGCACTCCCGGCTGGAACAGCTGGACCAATACCAGGTCAGAGCCACATTGCACTGGTAGCTCTTGAGTGACAGACATTATTGTAGAAGAGGGAGAACAAGCCATTTCGAAGCAAAGCATAAAGCTCTCTGTGCAGGTAGAATTCACTAAATAATCTGGAAGACCCGAGTAAATCCTGAGTGAAAAATCACAAGTACCTGTAGATCAGGAGTTATACTTTGGGTTAGGGCTACCAATCAAGTACAGGAGCTCACATAAAATAAGTTTTAAATCTCTTACCCAGACAGTTGTGGAGAGGGTGGAACAAGCAATCCAGTCTTGTTGAAGCCGATATATTGGCTTCTTTCAGCTGAGGTCCATGGACCAATTAGCTACTAATTACTGAACAATATACAAGGGCCAAACAGTCTCCTCATATTTGTCACTGTTCACTGTTGTTAAAGTCAAGTTTGAATTTGATGTAATTAAAGGCAACTGTTCTGTTAAAAAATAGCTCTGTCTCAAATATGTTCAATAGCTCAATGGGTTAATTGGATTGATTTCCTTCTCTGTAGTGACTACAGAGAGTGTAATAGCTTTACGACAAGATCTTTTGATTGAAAACATCTTAACATGCCAAGAAGCCTCAAGGGCATTTTAGGGAACAAACAAGCCTGCAAAGTAGTAAATGTTTGTCTGAAGAATGAAATCATGCCGCTGGGAGGATGTAAAACAAACTATATCACTTCACGATAGGCAGATTTTGACATCTTTAATTCATCATTAAATTAACAGACCATAATGTGTCCTATATTAGTTTGTATTTGTTGTCCATTTACCCTAAGGCATGAAAATGTGAACAACTCATCAGTATGAAAGAGTCCTCATCTGACAAATTAACACCTTTTGTTTCTCAGTATATTATGTTTCAAATAAGCACGTACAATAAGAATCACAGCTTGTTGGTGTGATGCATGTTTTGTTACTCATTTATGTTGATCGGTCTCAAATCCATGACCATAACCTTTTTTATTTGTGTAACCCTACAGACAGAGTTAAGGAAAATGCATGCTTCCTTGCTTGATAAAAAGTCATTTTTACTGCAAACAATTAATGGAGCCAGTGGCCAGAGCATTGCTGAACAGCTGCAGGTAACTAATTTGAACTAATGATAGATTTCTTCCTTTCACCTCTCAGATAGGACTGTATGCCATGATACTGATCATCTGCACTGTAAGGGAAAAGGAAAAAATACTGTGTTCACTAAAATGGTTAGAATACTTTAGAAAATGTATTACTCTTATAAAGTGCTGTGGGAGAGACTGGGCGGAGTGGTGGCTCTGTGTCTCAGGATCTGTGCCTGTGGCTGGAAGGTTGCCGGTTCAAATCCCGCGGCCGGCAGAGGAATCCTACTCCGTTGGGCCCCTGAGCAAGGCCCTTAACCCCAACTGCTCCAGGGGCGCCGTACAATGGCAGACCCTGCGCTCTGGCCCCAGGCTTCTCTCCCTTTCTGTGTGTCTTTGTGTCTCCTTGGAGAAAAGCTGGGGTATGCGAAAAAAGACGAATTCCTAATGCAAGAAATTGTATAGGGCCAATAAAGAAACATTATACATTATACACATCTCTGAGCTGGCTGAAATCTTCACTGAAATGTTTTTTTCCTCTCCTTTCTGGTGAAACTAAGGGAAAGGTGAGACTCAGACAAATGTTTACCCAGGCCTGAGAGTAAACAACCATGAGCATTTGTAGCACCCCTACTAGGGGGCAGAGTGACACAAATTGGAACTAACCAGACAGTCACACAGGCTTCAAGCACAGGGGGCTGCAGATCTGACTTCAGAAAGCACTTATTTTTTAGACTGAAGCATGCAGAACTGAGTATTAATACGGTAGAATTATTAATACTATGATGGACTGATGCTACTGTATGTCCGGGCTGCATCCGGGACAGGCTCCCGTGTAACCCTGAATTGGATAAAGTGGTTAGAAAATGGATGGATGGCTGGATAGCATTATCAATATGCCTATAAACTTTCATCTTTCACTTTCATGTAGATATCTTCATGGTGGTTAGAAAGTTTTCAATGCAATACTTTGTGCAAATGTTTTATTGTCAGATTAAAAAGCTTTGTAGGTGATGGAAAAATATATTACGTCTTCTCCTACCCCTGTAGTTTCCTAGTAGTTTTGTTAATCAGCTTCTGCAAAAATCGAACGTCTTCAAAATGCCCTATTACCCCTGTTTCTTAATTTTCTCCTGATGCGCATTAGAGGTTTTAAGCAGGACCCAAAGGGTCTGGATTTACAAGAAGACATTTTTCAGAATGATTTTTTAATTGTAAATGGACTGTTATATTATGTTTGTAATATGTGAGGCTGTGTCAGTAGGTCTTATCCTATGGCTCAGACTCTTGCAATGCTTCATCATATTGTTGTCGTTAAAAGACTTTGATCCATGTTATACTGTGCTTAAATAGTCTTTCTGCTGAAGAATTATGGATCAGTGGAACGTAAACATGGAATGGTGAAACATTTGCCTGAAGCCAGGCAGCATGTGCGTGTTGTGGACTTAGTGGGGCTTCTTCAAAGGCCTTTGTGTCTGTGTGTCTGCAGATGGCTGTGCAGTTGGAGTCCATGCTGGAGCCCCAGGAGAGCTGTGTGTCTGCACTGAAGGAGCAGGGACAGACTCTGGGTATCCCCACTGCTCTCATGCTGGAGGTCACCAAGTTAGAGGTACAGTGCAGTCTGCTAAGATCATTCCCAAAAGCACTTGCACACTAAGACGATCAGAATTCATGAATGCACTTTCATTGGGAAAGCATGTTGCATGTTGGTCCATGTTTACGACTTGTTTTGTAGAACGATTCTGGATTTACACACTCTTAATTTGTGCATTTTTGGTTTAAGGCACCTCAAGAATGTGCTACTTCTTAATTTAGGATGAATTGGTTCTTACTTTAGTGCTCTATAGTGCCAGCAACAGGCATAACATAGTGATCTATACAATATCCCCTGCACGTTTCCAGTTACCAGCACATGCAGTATGCATTGTCATCTTTCAGGAACGCTTTACAAATCAATAATTTACTTGGGGTATGCAAATATATCCAGAAATTGATTTTAAAATGTAAATATGAGACTGAGGAAAGTACATAAAGCGATTTAAAAGTTCAGAACGTCCTGTCACAGCCTCGTGCAGCAGATCCTGTGTGTGATCCTGTCTGTGTGCTCAGGATGTGCTGGACAGCGCGTGGAGCTCTCTTCACGAGCGGCGCGAGGAGCTGACGGAGAGCCTGCACCTCGAGAGGCACTACGGCCAGCTGCTGCAGGGGCTGGCCAGCCTGGTTGACATGGGACGGCACAGAGCCACACTTGACCCGAGGCTCGCCCTGCACAGCCACACGGACCTCCAGGGCTACCTCCAGAAACACAAGGTGCACAACCACATTGCAGGTGTAGAGGAGTAAAGAGATGCCAGTGTGCTGGAGAGGGAACTGCAAAATCCGTTTTTTTAAATCTATTTTTATCAAAAGATCAACAATAGCACTGGTGTGAGATCCTTACTGAGGGTCTCTATATTTTCCATATTAACTGTGGTTCATGAACTATTACAGCATGTGCCTTTTTTTTTATTACTGACCAGTTGACATATACTTTAATGATGAATCCTTCTTTTAACATTTATCGAGTTATCTTACCTTTACATTGATCAGTTTTTGCCAGTAGGAATATGTTCTCACTGCCCTTTGTTGTTCATGTAATTGGTCTGCATCTCAGTCAAACCCTTGACCGTCTTTTGGTTTGGCTTTGACAGAAATTCTTCCAGAATCTTGGGAAACGCATGGTTATGATGGAGCACCTCTCCCAGTGGGTGCCGGTGAATCTATTCAAAAAGCACGAGAAGCTTTGGACAGATCTCGTGCAAGAGATGAACTCTCTTCAACAGAAAGGTCTTGAGAAAGGAACAGAGCTGCAGAGAAGATTGCAGGTGCGCTGCACAGAACCATTCTTGATCACCTTCAAGATTAAAGATAAACCTTTTTGCATAGATTGAGTACTTTGAAGTCACTGTGTTGTTGCAAAATGAACAGATTCTTCAGGGTTTCAAGTGCCCTGTAATCCATATACAGTACTTAACATATTGTGCAATACCTCAGTATTGTATTGGAAGTCCAGTGCTCTTTCGAAATGTAATTTTCTTCAAAGTTAGTTGAATCTGATATGAATGGCCAGCCTTTATGACAAACTGTCACTTATTTTATTCCTGGTAAATGTAGCATTGTTATGCACTAGCTGCGCTCTCCCATGTACTTGGTGCTTTTCTCGGCAGGTCTGGTCCGACTTTGACGAGAGCCACAAGTCCCTGTGCAAGCTGCTGCAGGACGTGGAGGCCAGGATTCCCACTGTGGGCCTGGTGGAGGAGTCGGACGAGAGGCTCAGTGAGCGGCTGTCTGTCTATCAGGTACCGGGCTTGTACTGCATTCAAGAGAGGAACAAACACCTCGCAGCAGCCAGGTGGCGCAATTTCACCTACCTTGCTCTGAACAACCCCAGAAGTAATGGATCCTGCAGCTAGGATCACACGTTCTCCCTTCTCTTAACGACAGACTACTGTTCTTTTAAATTTTCTCCATTCATTCGAAGTTTCATTTCACACCTCTCTGGACCCATTCTGACTTCACACCTCTTGATTGGCCTCTCAATTCAATTCAATTCAATTCACGGTGCTTTATTAGCATGACCGATGGGTACAATCAGTGTTGCCAAAGCAAATAAAAAAAATAAAATTAACATGGAACAAAACAAACAATAGAAGTAAAATAAAATCTACAGACATGTTACAGACATTTACAACAAAGACATATTATAAAATATTGATATATACTGTAGGCGGCTGGAGCATTATTGGGAGACAGACTCACTGTTCCTCAGGCTGTGACAGGAGATCACATACTGGGCTGCCAGATCAACTGAGTTCCCTCCTCCCTCTCCCAGTAGGATTGGGACCTGTTGTGGTTTTGGCAGGTGTGGGAACTCTGGGATTAGATTTCTGAATTTCGGGAAGAATGTTTCTCTAATCCCAGAGTATCTGTCACAGTGCAGTAGGAAGTGCACCTCTGTCTCTATTTCTCCCTGCTGGCAGTGGGAGCACAGCCTGTCCTCTCTGGGGAGCCAGGTCTGCCTGTGTCGCCCAGTTTCTATGGCCAGGCTGTGGTCACTGAGCCTGTACTTCGTCAGGGTCTGTTTCTGTTTGTTATTTTTGATTTTGGTCAAATATTCAGCTAGTGTGTATTGTCTGTTTAAGGTTCTGTAGCATTCCAGTTTATGTTGTGTTTGTGTGTGTGTGTCCCAGTGTGTGAGATATTGCTGTTTGATCTGTGCTGTGATGTGGTTGAGTCTGGGTTGTGGTGCTCTGGCAGTGCTGTCCTGAGGCTGGTTAGTGTCGGTGTTGCTCAGGTCGGTGAGCCTCAGGACCAGCTGGCTCAGGGGGCTCTGTTTTTGGCTCAGCTCTCGGCTCAGCAGGGCTTTGTGGTGGTAGGAATTTTGGTCACTGTTTTTTAGGTGTAGCCAATACTTTAATATTCTTTTCTGTATGTTTATCAATAGTGGGTACTGGCCTAATTCGGCCCTGCACCCGTTGATAGTAGTTTTTCTCTGCACACGGAGGATGATTCTACAGATCTCCATGTGCAGAGTTTCTGTGGGGTGTTTGTCCCATTGGGTGTAATCCTGGTCTCTCTTTCTGTCCCCTGCTCCCGCCTCTCACTCCTCCTCCCTCCCAACCTTTGTTCTCCCGCTACTTTACCTTTGCCTACTGCCCTGTCTCTCTCACACCTGAAGAAGGCTCCACGGCCGAAACGTTGTGTTCTCTTTCTGCTTTTTTTCAGCATGGAATAAACCTATTACTTGTTCCTTTGCAACCCCAGAAGTAATGCTTACTAACTATAGAGAGTCACTGTCAGAGTCCATTCAATGTATATATCTGCTTTCTTCTTTACTTGCAGAAAAATGAGTAAGATTCAATTTCAAGCTAGAAATCCTTTTCAGATTTTTTCAGATAGACACCTTCCTGTAACTGTGAACTGGATCTTCATTCTCTGTAGTGGAACACAAATACAATCATATTTGTACAGCTCAGTCAGTGGTCAGATTAAAGCAAAGAACTGGAATACTTTAACTAATTAAGTTTGTTTTGGGATTTCCAGTATTATTTGACACTGTAATGTGTTGGGGGTTAGGTTTAGGCAGCATTGCGTAATAAGTTGGCAATTAGTTGGTATTAAAATGAGCTGGAACTGTAAAACTCCAGCATCCTCTTAAAGAGAAGAGCTAATAGGGTAAAATAAAGGTCTGATGCATTGACCCTTTAGTAACTTTCACTCTTTCTCGGGTCTAGAATCACTGGGAAAATCACACTGCACACTACTGTAACAAAGAGCTGATATTATTGGAGAGCTGCCAGCTGGAGCCACAACAGCAGATTAAGGTTTTGCTATCGCAAGCTCTTTCCCCTTAATGTTCAGTGTTTTATATTTTCAGTTACTTGAACCGTCATGTTTCACTGACACATGAATAAGATTCAGGATTCTCCTGAAGCAGGCTTGCCTACGTTGTGTTCAGATTCCCAATCAAACCTGAAGCACCAGAAGCCAGCGTGTTGCCATAGCACCACGTCAGACGGACGCCATTGTCGACAGGAGTAATAACAGGCCACTTCTTCTTCTTGTCTCTGTCTGGCAGCAAATCCAGGGCGTCCTGCGCGAGAACGCCGCGTGTCTCTCCCAGGCTGCAGTAGCAGGGAGGGGCCTGCGGGGGGCGCTGGGCAGCGCGGGGCTGGAGGCGGCCGTGGGGCAGCTGGAGAGCAAGTGGCTGGAGGTGCACGTCAGGGTGGAGCAGGACCACCACCGGGTCGAGACGCTCAGGAAGCTCTGGAGCCGGTCAGCCCCTCCTTCAAAACAGTCACTCTTTACACTGTGTCCCAGTTTGTGCACACTGGGGGGGGGGATATCAGAATATTGGATATATTGGATATGTATATGTCTATCTGGTATCATATATGATACATCCATTTATCCAGTATGGTAGCAGTGTAGCCGGAGCTTATCTTAGCAAGCCACGGGCGAAAGGCATGAATATGTAATATAATGATGTTCTATATTACTTAAATTAAGTACATCAGAAGGAACAATTTAAAGGACAAGAAAAAAAGTGAATATGTAAATTGGCCACGCTTAAAAAAACTCTAAACGGGAAAAGAATCTGAAGAGTAGCTGACAAACATTTTAAAGTCACCCGCAGTATTGTTTCAAAGTCATATCATAAATAGGTGTACAGTATCTTCTGCTTTTAGACTGCACACTTCTCAAAGTGTTACGAATTTAAAAAAAAAACGTCAGCATAACTGAACCCCAGCACCCAGAACTCCCTGTCTGGACTTGCAGGGTGGTTGATTGCTCTCTGGGCCTGCAATGGTATCTTACTGACTGTGCCGGCAGGTTTCGAGAGGATTCGCTGGCCCTGAGTGGCTGGATGGGCAGTGCCATGGGCCGGCTGAAGACGTGGAAGCAGGATTCGGTCACCGTGGCCCAGGAGAAGGAGACTCTGCAGCAGCGCCTGGCTCACTTCCTGGTGGGTGCGCACTGAGCTCCAGGCTGCCCTGTCGGTTAAGCGAAGGTGTAGCGCTCTGAATGCTCAAAGCAATGGCGATGTCTTTAGGTTCGATTCAAGGGAGCCAAGAGATATTTAATACGGCCTAATGAGGACAAGGACAAAGGCTGTAAGCTGGTTTAACTGTATAGCAGCACGAGGATTACAAGCATTTGTCTCGTTTCACCAACAGTGTTTGGGGCAAAACAAAAACAGAACACTGAGCAGAAAATTGAACAGAAATAAAGATAAACATAAAAAAGGTAGAAAAAGGGGAAAAGGCAAACATTAATTGAAAGGAACAAGTACAGGTGTATTCCATGCTCCATAGAGAAGAAAAGAAACACAGTTTCAGCTGTGGAGCCTTCTTTAGGGCGGAGCGGTGGCTCTGTGGCTAAGGATCTGCGCCTGTGACTGGAAGGTTGCCAGTTCAAATCCTGCTTCCGGCAGAGGAATCCTACTCTGCTGGGCCCCTGAGCAAGGCCCTTAACCCCAACTGCTCCAGGGGTGCCGTACAATGGCAGACCCTGCGCTCTGACCCCAAGCTTCTCTCCCTGTTTCCCTGTCTGTGTCTCCTTGGAGAAAAGCTGGGGTATGCGAAAAGACGAATTCCTAATGCAAGAAATTGTACAGGGCTAATAAAGAAACATTATTATTACATTATTACATTCAGCATGGAGTAAACCTTTACCTGTTCCTTTGCAGCCTACGCATGCAGACGCAGCTCCGTACTTGAACTTCACTACTTAAAAGCCCAACTAAACAGATTAGTTTTTAGTATGACTGCAACAGTGTTTACATTTCTCAGAGTGGCAGGAAGTGAGCTCCAGAGGTGGGGAGCAGGGTGACTGAAAGAGACTCTTGCACTTATAGGAAAGTGCTACTAAAAGATGTGCCTCAGCAGGGTTTTACGCTCTGTTTGGTACATAGGGAGTAATGAGAGACTCTAACTATTGGAGGGGGTTTGGTATGAAGGGAAGTTAAAAGTCAAGTTTTGAACTGAATGCGCTGGGTAATGGGGAGCCAGTGATGGTGTGTCAGGATTGGGGTGATGTTGTCACTGAGCCTTGAAGATCACAAATTGTTGCCTTTGTAAATTTAATGGTGGTGTCGTAAAAAACACTCACTGCAGCGTCCCCGGAGTTGAGCTGTCAGTTGGACAGCAGTGCTTGAACGTGCGCGTCTGTGGCGCTGCTCTCCGCAGGAGTTCGCTAAGGAGGTGGAGGCGCAGTCGGCCCTGAAGGCCTCGGTGCTCAGCACAGGGGCGCAGCTGCTGCAGCTGAAGCAGACGGACACGGCGGCCCTGCAGACGCAGCTGGCGCAGTTCGAGCAGAGCTGGACCGAAGTGCTCTCCAGCCTGCCGACCGTCCAGGAGAAGCTGCACCAGGTAAATGCTGCCTCCGATACTGGTTGCGGTCCGCATGGCCGCAGCTCAGCTCGATCAGGCTGGCGGGAGGGGTCTCTCACACAGCTTGTGGGCAGTCGAAACTAGACTCCCAGACTGGGGGCTGCTTTGAGTCAAGGGTTGTAATATAATGTGAAAATCGAAACTACTGGGACAGTGAAGTGAGATTTGTCATTTTTGCTGTGTAGTAATGACATTTGTGTTTCAGATGAAAAGATGAATAGATTTTCGAATTTTGTGTCTAGGTATTTTTTTGCATTCATGTTTGCCCGTGTTAGAATAGTATCACTGATTGATTTAAGTTAAGCATAAGTATTGGGACAAATGAACTTAACGCTGTGAAAAGTTAGCACCCCTCGACATCACCAGACTCTTGATGTGTTCCTTTACGATGCTTCGCCAGGCCTAGTCCACCGTAAAAATGACAATTACGTTCAGTGTCCCAACATGTATACTTTTTCCTGTTGTGTTTTTAAAACATATTTGAGAACATTTTTCATAAACCTCAAAGTGCAGGAAAGGAGGTCAAGTTCACTGAATAATACCAGTACAGGGCAGGAGGGAAGAGTCCTGACCTTCGGCTTCGGGACTCTTGTGGAGGTGTGTCTGCGGAGCAGAGGGTGGGTTCTGGCAGGCAGTCCAGATGCTTTCCTCTTTCAGCCGAAGGGGGTTTAGATCCTGCACTGTAGCAGACAAGCGGGAATTCTGGTTATATTGTGCTTCATAATAGCCAATTCTAATGAGGCTCTTAAACCACAAAACACTTGTTTCCTGACTCACTTTGTGAACTTTCCTCCTCTCCATAATTCCTAGAGATAAAATGAATCAGCAGCCTTTTTCTTAATATCCTGTGAACAAACTCTAGGCAGATCAAAGAGGGACCACAGAACATCCTACAAAGCTGCAGGGTCTACATGGACTGAACGTCTGCCAGATACCAATTACAGCTTCAAGTTTCTCCATCTCTATCCACGTCCTGATTGCTTCTCTGTGCAGGTCTCTTCGATGATGCACATTAAACAGGGCTCCCTTCTCTGGCTGCAGAGGCCTGCAGCTCAGAATTTCAAAAGGCAGCTCCCCCAGTAGTGCGGAAAACACCAGGCTGTGCTGTTCAAAGCTCTGTTCATTATTACCGGATATAAAAACATTTTACTTTTAGCTTGTGCCAAGTTTTTCTTTGTGTTTTAGTGCATGGTGGGAGCTGGACAGTGACACTTAAGTGTGTTAGGTTTTGTTTCTGGTTTGATAATAAATAGAATTGGTCTCTCGACTAATTTTAGATCCACCTCGAGCATGTACTGTAGTTATTTCTTTCCCTTTTACAGCTGCAAAAATGTACTGATTCCCAAATTTTTCCCTTGTGATCCGCTGAAAAGTTAACCATTCTATTAAATTCAATGTGTTTCACCAATTAGCCACTGGGTGTCACTGTTTGCTGATCGAAACACTTGATGATCACTGTATCACTTAGGAAATACCGAAATGGAGGCAATAAAACCAGGTGCCAGGTCACTAGAAATTTTTGGCTTTGTGTTCCAGGACTTTACGGAATCCAGTCTGAGTTGTTCACTGGACTAGATTTGCAACCTGCCTTTCCTCAGCTGTCAGGGCCTGGGGTTTTATTGGTGCCGAGACGCAGCGGTGAGCCTGACAGGTGTGATTGCTCCCCTGTGTACAGCTGCTGATGGAGAAGGTGTCGTCGCGAGAGGCCATGGCACAGCTGGACCTCTGGATGAGTGGGATGAAGGACCAGCTGCAGGAGGACGAGGAGAGGGTTCCCGCGGTCTCCGGCTTAGCCAGCATCACTCAGCTGCTCAAGAAATACAAGGTGCCCCGTCGGCTTCGTGCGACAGCTTGTGAAACAGATCAGTGGACTTGGTGTAGGGGTGTAAGCCATCACTGTTTTTAACTGGGCATTTTTGAGTTTGAGTAAATAATTTATCACAGGATTACAAAATGTGTGTATATTCTAAGCCCAAGAGCATTAAACATTTCATTGCACCTGTGCATATGACAAACAAGCTGACAAGAACCTGAAAGTAAAGACTTGAGCTTGGTGGAGCTGTCGATGTGTTGACCTTGCAAGGCAGTGACCAGCGTGTGATGAAGTCTGCTGTGCGTGTTTCTTTGCAGAGCTAACTGACAGCGTGAGAAGTTGCGGGCCTGGCAGGGAAGCTGCAGCACTCTGTGTTCACTTGATCTTCTATATTTCAGGAATATAGCCTTGAGATGAGCTACATGCAGCTGACGGTGGATTTCGTGAACCAGTCTGTGCTGCAGACCAGCAGCCCTGACGTCCAGGGAAAGCGCTATGAGCGGAAGGAGTTTGCTGAGCAGCTGGGTGCCCTCAACCTGCAGTCACAGCGACTCCAGGGAGCCCTCAGTGACAGGGTGAGGCACTACAGCAAAGCCCAGGCTGCGGTCTCTCACGTACACGCTGAGACCAGGAGCCCGCTGTTCTCTTGAGTGAAATTTCTTCACGAGTGTATACACGCGTAGTTTAAAATAGTGATACATTTATTTCCGTGATGTGGTTCATCCTTTTGGCCAACAGCTCTTGGGTCCTGGGTTAGATTCTGGATTGCAGTGCCTTCTTGTGACGAGTTTGTAGATTTTTCCCATATTTGCCTGGGTTTTTGCCAAATGTTCCGGTTTACGTCCACTGTCAGTTAACCCAGTCGACTTGTCTTTAGGTGTCCCTAAATTGGATGGGCGTCCCATGCAGGATGGGTCACCCTGTGCCCTGTGCTTCCGGAAGAGGCTTCGGTTTATCCTTACTGGTGAAAACCCTATTTTTGATCCTGCCTGGTTGAATATTTTGCTGGTGTGCTTACATGTGTGGGTCATTTCATTGCAACACAGATCCGGCATCTGGAATCCCTACAGGAAGAGTACACAGAGAAGGAGAACAAACTACAGCTCATCCACAGCTGGGTTACAGCCCAGCGGGAGAGAGTGTCAACGTTCGAGAAACCTGACAGCCGAGCCCTGGCAGAAAAGGCCCTGAAAGAGTGTCAGGTATGGTGCCAGTTCTGTGACTCTTCTAGATCGGTATCTTGCAGTAAGCCCTTCAGAAGACAAGCATGTTGCAGTCTTATCTGCCTATCATTAAATTGTAAAATATTTCTTCTAAAGATTTTTCAGATCTTGTTCGGTAGGTGAAAGTCATGTAATTTCACAATAAGAAATGGTTTTGAGTGCATTCTTTACTCTAATTAATCTTCATATCTTTTTTGGAATCATTGGCTTTGGCCTCACTGGTCTATGCTGAGTTTCCCATTGTAACACAGGTTGTTAACTGTTCACTTTTACTCAAGTCTCCAAAATTGTCTGCAGTGTAGAGTTTCCAGCTGAACCAAATGCAATTTATACAATGTAACAGTAATGTTTTGTAGATTACTGTAATATTGTGTAAATTGTACTCATGTAATGGACTGTATAGCTTTACAGAGCAGCTGTACTTGATGATTAGTGCCCCTGTCTTTAATGTCTCCCCTAACTGAGCAAACGCTACAGCTCCAGGCGATTGTGATTCTTGAGTACGGGGATGCTGACCTGGCAGCTGTCTGTGTGCTTCGTCAGGAGACTGAGGAGAAGCTGAGGGTGAAGTCCGGAGAGGCCGAGGGGCTGCGTGAGAGATGTCAGTCCCTGGACACAGGGAGCAAGGAGGGAATTCGGAGGGACTTCATGTCACAGGTGGATGACATCAGTGCGGCTTGCACAGGCCTCAGTCAGCAGGTACTGACAGTGGAGTCTTCTGTGAAGCAGCATAACGGGCAAGCTCTCCACCATCTGCAGCAGAGTATTAACAAATTAACCTTTCTTTTTTAAAATACCAGCTCTCAGTATGCAAGACCCCCCCCATATACTGTAATGTGAAGGCTGCAGAAATGCTCTTCTGATGAATTGTTGCAAAAGTATTGAAATGTATACTTAAATGTAAAACATTTTGAAATCATGGACACAGTGCAGTTTTTTTCTTTTACTATTCCATTTGTTTTATTAATTTGTATATATTCTAGGTGTGCTGAGGGATATTACTTGTGGTGAATGTAATTTTCAGCAACATGTTGCATGTTCACGTCTTGAACGAACCTTGTAAATGCTTGCTATCGTGAACCCAGCTTGCTCAGATGAAGACGTCCCTGCAGACAGTGGTCCAGCGTTGGGGGGAGTTTGAAGGAGTATTTGGAGAGGTGGAGCTGAGCACGATCAAGGTCCGCTACAGCCTGGAGCACTGCTGCTGCCCCCTGCTCTCATTTGAAACTCTGAGGGGCAAGGTGGGGAGCCTGAAGGTATTTGTGGTCCGTCTTTTCATTTTATTTACAGGGCATGCAATTGCACCTTGCATTGATTGCATACTCTTCGGTCTCTGAACCTTTCACTAGCACGTTGTGGATAGAGTAGGCTCAGTCCTCTTGCAGTGCATTGCATCCATGCCATTGAATCGGTTTCCTGGAAGAATAGCAATGGGCAGCAAATCACATTTGGCTTATTGGGCTCAGACTCTAGATGTTCTGCTAATGCTATGTCATTAAGCGTGAAACTAGCACACATTACTTTGGCAATGAGCACAGTGATGTCTGCCTAAAAAGGAGCTGTGGAAATGACCATTTCTTAGAACGATCTCACTTCCTTCTATTTGTCTGATAGCTGTGTTGGAATGTAATGTTCTTCTCCACCCCTGCAGAACCTGCAAGACGGGGCTGAGATGGGCGAGGAGGGATGGCAGACGCTGACTAGAGCTTTCTCCAGCCTGAAGGACCTATGCAGCTCCTCTGCCGCCCAGCTCCTGAGCGACCAGCTCCAGTCTGCACGGACACGGTCAGTGGAGCCCTCTCTCTCCTAGTCCACTGTATGTGACTCTGACTAGTTGTCCTTTTCACATTCATTTCGCCAGAGCTTCCCATTTTAATTGTATGTGAGCTGAACTAATTGAACCACTGGGCATAACTGTAGCATTTTATCGGATGAATGGGATGCAGCTGTTATTTTTAGCTTTGCCGTTTTTCAGTGATTCATCTGCCATGATCTGTCACCTCCGCGGACTCAGGTTTTGAGAATGTATGCCCTGTAGCTTTTGACTCATTTCAAGAGCTAGTTTTAATTTCAAAACCAAAAATAGCATGTGCAAGACATATCCTTTAATTTCCAGTAAAATAAAAACTGCAACCGGAAATCAAAATAACTGCAAAGCTTTTCTTCACCAGCCTATAAGGAATATGCTGCTAAAAAATGTTTCAAGCACTCAAGTTTTTTTTTACTTTAGTTTCTTTATGCAGTATGCAGTATCTCCTAATTGGAGATTTGGCCAAACTTTCTGTTATTAATAAATGAATCAATCAGCCTTTGTTAAGAGGCTTTTTTTCCCCTGTAAATGGTTTTATTGACAATAAATTTTAAATGGCCGGTCTCTTGTTCCCTTCTCTTTGCCAGATGGATGGTAGTAAATCAAGATCTTACAGATGAGCTCCGAAAAGCTCAGAGCTTATTCCAGCTTTGGCATAGGTACCGGGACTTCGTTGCTGACCGCGCCCTGCTGCTCGATAAACACCAGGAGGAGTGCAGCAAGCTGCTGAGCTCTGTCTCTGCCGAGGAGAGCACCGTGGATTTTGTGCGAAGTAAAGTGGAGGCCATTAACGTAAGTGTGCCCACAGGCTCCTTAAGAGGCTGCAGTGGAGGAGTCTCATGCAAAATGCAAACTGGTTAAATGAGGTTACAGCACAAGCATGAGTACACACAGACATTGATTCACATCGGGAGCACTGGGATAGGCAATTAAACTGAGTGTATCCAGAATTTCCTTAAGTAGAGCCAGGTGTTTTGGAAGCGATGAGAAGGGAATATTTTGTTCTGGGACTGGCAATGTGTTGACCACACTAAAAGGTACAGGCGAGTTCTTTTGGTCCATACTGGAACTCCCAGTCTGACACTGCACCAGGTGCTTGCTCCTGCTTCTGTTCTGGCATTGATCCCTCTCTGTCAGTGATGACAACTCCTCACCTTTCATGTGTATCGTATTTATACAGTATATACAGGTATCTGCCAAAATAAAGGAACCACAAAGGTCAAGTATCTTAATAGGGCACTGGGGCACCACGAGCCAGCTTCAGTGTGTCTTGACTTAGATTCTACAAGTGTCTGAAACTCTACCAGAGGGATGTGAAACCATTCGTCCACGAGAAGTTCCATCATCTAGTGATACTGCCTGCTCACGCCTCAGACTGACATTTGTAGTCCACTTGCTTGTCTGTTTTGCCTTGTATCTTGAAGCAATGCTTGGACATCAATGTCAAGGAGTACTCCCTTTTGCCCACAGTTGCCCTCGGTTGATGATATCTTTCCTTCAGAGTTCTGTGCCACTGTTCATCATGAAACATCAGCAAGTTGGGCAGACTTCATCATTGAAGCACCTGCCAAATGTGCCCCAACAATCACCCCTCTCTCAAAGTCCCTGAAATCTCTTCCTCTAACCATGACAGCAAAATAATGAGTGACTCTGCCTGTCCAGCGTTTTTTATTCTTAGCATGATGGGATGCTAATTGCTTAATCGGGCACCACACCTTCTTTCAATAGGCTTTGTATTTGCTCAAGTGTTTCCTTTATTTTGGCAGTGACCTGTATATGTATGTGTGTGTGTTTGTGTGTCTTTTCTCGTTCCGGTGCTCAGGGCCTGCAGGAGAAAGTGAGGAGCTTGCAGAGCAGTGTGGCACAGGTGCTGGAGATCTCGGAGGAGCTGATGGTGCAGATGGGGCCCTCGGCTGCGGCGTTCGTCCAATCAGAGAGCAGGAGCCTCCCCCGCAGGCTGGCACAGCTGGAGGGCATGCTGGCGGGAAGGCTGAGGGACCTGCAGGTACAGGCTAGGTGGAGGAGAGGACTTGTCTCCTTGGGAAAAGTGACAACTCATCAGGGAGTCATCTGGACCATCTTGGTCACTCAGTACCTAGTTCCTCCCAAAACCTCAACAAAGCGCAACAGTATCACTATCTGTACATCAACCATTATTCAGATCGTCAAGACCAATTAATTGGTCAGTATGGATTCAAGTAGGTGTTAGTAAATTGGGTCATATGATTAGAGAGAACAAATTGTTGTCATTTTTTGAATTATCTCATCAAACATCTCTTCCAGCAAAAGAACTTTTAAATTACTCAGAACTTAAACGTTTACTGTCTAAAACCTTTCCATTAAGTGAATTAAAACAAGAACTGGATAATTATAACAAACTCTTGCAGACTAATATACAAGTGAAGGCTCGAACATTTTACAACCTTCTTAATGCAAGGTCAGACAAGTCTTTTGATAGGTGTGCATCTCAGTGGACAGCTGATCTCTGTGTAGGGTCAGAGGACATAGACTGGGATACTGCATAATGTTAGTTATCCATTTAGAGTCCATTTAGAGCTATACATAACAAACTGCAAAATTTTAAGCAGCCTCTATTATACCCCAGAAGTATGGTATTGTCAGCACATACAGTCATTCTGGACCTCCACTGTGGGGAAAGCTCTCAGGCACCTAAATATCACAATTCCACTTACTCCCATTGCATGTATCCTTGGTGATTTATCAAAGGCTAAAGTAGCAATTCAATATAAACATACTTTTTTGACCCTCTGTATTATTGCTAAAGGAATAATATTGTGAAAATGTGTGGACATTACAGGACTGCTGTACAAAGAATGGATTAAAGATTTCATATAATTTACAGGGGAAACTTAATGAGTATAGGAATGTTTGGGGCCCGTCAGAGACATACTTGAATGGCACTGGATGTTAAGAATATTAGTAGGAAGTTTTTAAATTTTTTTTGTGAATGTAATTTTTTGGGGTATTGTCTAATAAGAAAAAAAAAAGTAGTGGAAAAAAATTAAAAAATAAAGAAGTCCTCCAAAGTTGGGAGGGTGGAGGTGGGTTAAAAAAAATCAAAAAAACAAAGTGCAACAGATCAACGAAACATCTTGCAAAGCATATTTAGTGCTTCTTGCTGAAACACAGAAACCTTCCATTAGCAGCTGTTTAGGTTGACATTTTTCTTTTAAATTCATTATTATTGCTAACTTGTTTTGCATGGAAGAAGTATTAGGTGTATGAAAAGAGAACGGAAAAAAGAACTATAATATCCGCAGCTGATCAAAGTGTTTGAATGATCTTGACCCCAATATAAAAGGTCATTTCATATGAGAAATGTGCAGATTAAGCTACCCTGCAAGACTCGTCTTTGAATCAGTTGGAATTCAAAGGCATGTCTGTAACAAACGTTTTGTTCTTAATTTCAAGTGCTGTCTTGTTGGGGTTTCAGGTAGGTAGCTAACTGCTTTTCCTGCCACTCTGCAGGATGAGCTGGAGCAGCTGGAGGAGTTCGACAGCTGCCTGGAGGTGTTGGAGAATCACCTGAAGGACTGTAAGGACACCGTGATCAAGACCCAGGACTCCAGCTCCATGCAGCTCTCAAAGGTGGGTACTGGGAGTACCCCTCACTACCCTGCAATATTATATTTGATTGTGCAGAACATATTCAGTGGACATACAGTATTTGCTTGATGCTAAACTAATGTTTCATGACTAGTAAGGAGCCCAGACCATCTGCTGTGGACTGCTGCTGCTCTGTACTATTAAATGTTAACTGCCTTTTCAGGCGGGCATGCTGAAGCTGAGTGCCCTGTCCCCAGATCTGCAGCTCCTGAACGAGCTCAGCTACAGGGTACCTCTGAATGACAATGCAGCCCGGAGACTGCAGACCCTGAACAGACAGTGGGCCCTGGCATCTGCACAGGCAGTGGAGAGGTGCAGGTAAGGGGCTGTCAAGTGCCCAGACTGGAGGGAATTCTCGGTCTTCGCAGACATCCGATTAACATTTCAACAGTACCCTATTGTCCACAGCACCCTCCTGCATGATCTGGAAAAGCAGATGCATTTGACTTTTGAAAGTTGCAATATCCAGTCACAGCAAGCTGTGCTTTAAGGGACAGGAAGAAATGCGTATCGTAAACATTTAAACGCATTAAAGTAATTGCTGGGAGAATACTTGGGCACAAATGGGCCCATTTAGTCAGTAATTACTTCAGTTCCGTAATTAACCACAGAGAGGAAAGGAAAACCAGAGACCCCCCCTGAAGCTCAGAGGCCAGAGTGGAGGAGTGAAAGTGTGGGGCTGAGTGAAGGGACAGAGCAGGGCTTGCTCAAGAGCTTTGAGATCGTTTGAGAAGGGGTTCCAGCCAGGCAGGACTGTAGACTCCTGGAGAGCTTCTAAGCGAGACCATGCGTGTGTCTGTGTGTGACAGTGTGCTGCAGGGCCAGGTGCTGCAGCAGGAGAACTTCCAGCAGAAGTGCGAGCGCTGGCTCAGCTTCCTGCAGGCCATGGAGGACAATCTGGCGGTGGACATTGCAGGCTGCTATCCCGGCCTCAGAGAGCAGCAGAGAGTCCACCAGGTACCTGCTCGTCTTCTCCTTCTCCTTCTTTCCCTCATCTTCTTGGTGCACTTCACTCCATACAGCAGTAGCATGACTATGCTTCAGCCTCTAATGTGCCCTGAGTGCCCACTGACTTTGTGAGATTTCTGTTTGTGCACAACTGTATTACTATGACAGTAGACCTGGGAAATACTCTCACATGCTCTGTGTGAAATGTAATTTCTATAAGGTCTCCTCTAATCTTTTCTTAAGGAAAAACTTGCCCCTTTATTTATACATCATCGTCAGCATTGTTAATCACTTACTCCTGGTGAAGGTCGCTGTGGTAAACAAGCTGAGCAGAGTAGACCAGACTTCATTTCTAACGCTTTTTCAAATGCCACTCTTTAAGAAAATACTGTTTACAGTGTTATTTCAGCGGATGTCCTGTCATCTTCATATTCCTTTCCTGTTTTTCTTAACTTACTGCCCACAGTACCTGGAATTTTGTTGTCTCCCTGTGTTTCAGAGGTTCCAGGCCGAGGTGGCAATAGGCCACCAGATCCTGCACTCCGTCATCAGCGAGGCCTTGCTGCTGCTGGAGAAGGGAGAGGTGGAGGACAGGTATCGCTGCCACGTTTTATCAGAAACCTTCCTCTCCTCCAGATGTGTCACTGTGGGGAACTTCATATCCACATCTGTTGGGAAACTTAAGAGAATGAAACGGTGGTTGTAAAAAGCTTTCTAATTGTTCTGTGCAAATAGCAATGACGGACAGGATTGCTTAGACTAAATGAAAATGTGTTGTGTGACCTTCTAACACAGTGATTGTCATAGGACTCCTATATAGCTGTTGGTAATATAAAACAGGAAGCATCTTTATTAAAGCATATTATTGAGTGTGTGTGCCTGTTCACACGCTTTGTTGTTGTGGATGGCCATGTATACTGCCAAGAAAAAAAGATTTCAGTAAAAAAAAACAGCTTTTTCAAATTCTATCTTCAAACACAATGAAAAAATGAAAGACCAGGGCTCAGACTGCTTTTGCACTAGAAGAAAATGTTCCTTGTTGTGCAATGGCATGTACACAGCTAAAGCTATAAAACTGCACTGTGATGTGGAAAACAATTACTGCCTCTGGTAACTTTCCTCTGTGCTCTGTACGCCGTGATCTCCGCAGGAGCGACTTCATCCTGAAGCTGAGCCAGCTGAAGGAGCAGTGGCAGGGCGCCGTCCACAGGGCCCAGCAGAGGAAGGGCCTCGTCGACGGGCTGGTCAGGCAGTGGCAGCTGTACCGTGGCAGCCTGAAGAAGCTGAGGAGGTTCCTGGCTGACACTGCGGCCCAGCTCCCTCCAGCCAGCAGCCAGAGCCCCTCGGGGCTGCACCAGCTGAGGATAGCCCTGACAGAGATGAAGGTACAGCAGGGAGAGGACATCACTGCAGATGGCTGGACGCCTTAAAGACGGAACTTTTTTTCAATATGAATTTGTTACTGCTGGGGAATCGTGACTGACCGGTTGCGGTAATGCTGCCACTGCACCTTGAGTGAGATACTTGACCCCAGTGGTTCCAGTTCAGCCGCCCTGCTGTATAACTGGGGACCAGCATTGCAGTGCATAGGGGTGCTGTTTAGTCCATCTTGTTCTACAAAACCAGGATGAGCTCTGGTCTAATAATAATAATAATAATAATAATTGCTTACACTTATATAGTGCTTTCTGGACACTCCACTCAAAGCGCTTTACAGGTAATGGGGACTCCCCTCCACCACCACCAATGTGCGCCAGAACGCTCACCACACATCAACTATCAGTGGGGAGGAGAGCAGAGTAATGAAGCCAAATTCATAGATGAGCTGCTGAGGCTCTGGTGTAGACTTTACCTTTTTTTACTTGTATTGTTACTGAGGGATCAAGACGAGGAATGCTAGGAATGTGGTGTCCACAAAGAGGCACAGGGGACAGTGTGTTTCAAATTGAGGGCTGTTTAGAAAAATATTTACTACGTCTATAAGGTTACACCTGTTTTTTTTTCCCCAGTTGGGAAGTCAAATAACATCATATCATATAGAAGGCTTATTTACTAGTCTGGTGGGCACTTAAAATTCTTTTTGGCTTTCTAACCCTTTTTCCTACATGTGCTGTAGATGTAGCGTGACACAAAATGCTTTCTGAATCAGGTGCGTTAAGTTTGTTTCAAATCACAGGCACAGAGACTGTCTAGGCTCAGAGGCATTAACCACAACACTTTTGGTGTGCTTGGGAGTTTTTATGCCTGAGAACTTCTGTTGAAATGCCAGGCATGCACGCTTTTCTTAAAACGTTCAAAAATATGAATAAATAAAATAAATAAATAAAGGCCACATTTATGTTCAAAGATTGGTACCTCAGCAAGGCTCAGTTAAAGTCAGAAGTCAAATGAGCCCCATCTATTCCAGGACAACACTAGACGGAGTCATGTCCCCTCATCAGATGTTATGGGGCACGGACTTGAGAAATCAATGGATGTTTTTGTGCTAATTTACATACTTCTTTAATTTATCTACATCCCAGAATTCTGGAAATGTATTTTAGCTGCTCTGGAGTGAACCCTCCCATTGCTGTGTGTCACTATGTGTCCTCTATCCCCCTCACAGCACTTAAAACTGCTGTTCCAGCGCCATCACAGCAGCTACGTTCAGGCCCTGGAAGGTGGCAGGCAGCTGTTCTCTATGGGTGATGCCCAGACCCAGGCCCTGCTGCAGGGGGAGCTGAGTGGCCAGCAGGAGGCCTGGGAGCACACATGTGCTCTCCTGGATGAGAGGAGCACTCTCATAGCCACTGTCCTGGAGGTGAGCACTGTCCCTGTCCTGGGCCTGAGTGCCCTCCCTGGAAAAGCTGAATCTGGCTGGGAGTTTTTCTCCTTGTTTAAAGATTCTGGGACTCCTTTACAGCCAATCGTACCTATGAAAGTACCAAACCTTACTGTGTACACAGAATCAACGGCTGGTTCTGCTTGAGGCCACTATTTTTAATGCTTCCATTTTCAACCTTTAATTTTGTATCTGTTTTAAAGACCTCAAAACCTTCCCGCTGCTTCTACAGTATTTATTAAGAGGATGCTTTCTGATAGGCGTCACATCCTGTCCCATTCTGTTCGGTTGTACTTACTACCGTGAAAGACGCAACAGTCAGAAAACGTCCACAGCTCAGCAGTGTAAAACATAGATCCAATAGTCCAAGTGACCTACAATCTTGCATTATTAATACAAGGAGGGCCTGTGGAAGGAATGTACATATACAATAGGAAAATCTGTCTTAATCGTGTTCTAATCTACAGTTCAGACAGCTTGGTATTAACCCCAGAGCGTGCAGCGTTAAAAAAGGAGTACAGCGCTTATTCTATCAGAGCCACATTGCAGTGCAGTGCTTCCTGAGGTGAGGGTACTCTGTGCTGAGCAGATGGACACAGGCGGTGGAGGACTGTGTTACCTCCATTTGGATCCATGTGTTGCTCTGTGTGTAACCTGCACTCTAATTCGAGAAGTGGGTCCACGTGGTTTGGCAACCTGAATATTTTCCCTGTACAGAATTTGTCATTGGAAATGAGCGTGTTTTTGCAAGATGGTGTACGAAAATGCCATTTTCTAAACAAAATACAGTCACATCAACTGCCCTAACATTATAAAGTAAAGCTTTTGATTAGTGAGCATCCGATCTATCCGATCTATCTGTGATTGATTCCCATGAGCTCCCTGCTTTATGCAGTACTTTGTTTTTGTTTACGTGTTCTTCTACAGGTGCTTTAAACATTAAATCTGTATTTGCCTCTAAACCTTGATGATGAAGAGATTTCGCTGCAGTGCAATGATGTAAGGCAGCTTATTGTAATTCTGTCTGGGGTATTAAAGCATGTGAGCAGAGAGCTGAACTATCTCAGCTGTGTACCATTAGCACAAGGTCCCCTTGCTCCAAGGTGAACTCTGATCTTGTTAAACCCTGTTTTTTTTCACAGCACACACTATTTCTCAACTCAACCCACAAAATCCCAGCACTGTCAATTCACCAGACCCGTGTACTGATGGAAGTGGTACATTTTTTGGTGCTTTGTTTTTCACTTTGCCCTAAATACAAGAAAGATTCCAGGGCAAATCCCTTTAACTTATATGACAGTTTGGAAAACAGCCTCCTCTCTGTGCTAAATCTTTCTAATATCTCAGATGGAGTGTTTCTGTTTTCAATGTCACGACCTCTCTGAAGTGAAGCTAGTTTGTTGTGAGGCTTATCTAATGCAAAAGATCACTACCTACATGACTTGGACAAAGCTCAACATCCTCATCTCAAGGGATTCCTTAATACAACCTCACCATTGCATTGCAAATTTCTCTTTTATAAGTCTTGTATAGCAGCATGCATCTAACATGGAGAAAGGAAAAGGGCATAGCCTTGTGTTCCTATGTTTTGGAAATAAATACATCACTGAGAGGAGAACGAGAAGTATAGAGTGAATGAGAGAGAATGTTAAGTACTTTTGAATCCCTTTGTGTTTTTTAGCGGTCATGGTGACTGAGAAAGCTAAAAGCAGTGCTGTGCAATGAAAACTAAATTAATAAGTCTGAGTGTTTGCTGGAGTAAGTAATCAATACCGAGCTTTTCACAACTAATCCACAGTGGATCTTGTCTGATGTGCAGCATCTCTCAATCTCATAACTATTCAGCTTTAATCCCTGCACAGAGGAGAACAAATGTTGACAAGGAAAATATTAGAAAGATGCATTGATGTATACCAACAAGATTGGCATCTGTGCTATAAAGAGAGTGCTATTCCATTAATTATTGATTCTTGCATGTTTTTAGCTAGGCAAATTTAACTGCTGCTCCTGTTTTTTAAACCTCAGCAGTATTTCTGGGAAGGAACAGACCCCAGCTCAGCAGAGAGAGGAAGTGAGGATTAGTTAAAGTCGTGTGGCCCTGTTGCTGAGCTGTCAGTGTATTGCTATCGGGGCAGGAGAGCTCTCTTGCCAGAGCACACTCGGATCTGCTCTGACATCGTAATAGGAGCCTGATGGCACATGATCCTAGACATAACATGAAATTGGCACTGGGGATTAGCAGATAATGCCAGAAACCTGTGGAATTCCACACCAGCTGCTGGTAGCAGAGTAAGTCTCGTGTGGCTTGTGAGCAGCCCAGTTCTGCAACACTAAGTGAGAGTCGTCACAGTGCTGTCTACCTTGGTAAGTCCAATATTGCTGCACAGTTATTTTGTTTTTATAGACATGTCACATCTGACACAAGGATAAGAAGTTACGTTAAAAATATAATAAGCAGATTGGACAAAAAGGGGAAAGGACCGATGATGGTCATTTCTGAATTTCAGCCTTGGCCGTGCTTCTTTACCGTTGGCTGGGGTTCCCCGGTGCAGAACGGGGACAGTGTCTCAGGGGTGGGCCAATACAGGTTGGTGTTCTGTGTATTTTCCTCTGGCACTTAAGAGATGCTCTTTCCCATACCCAGAACTGGGAGAGATGCCAAATCAGACTTGCTGAAAGCAGAGACAAGCTTCAGGAAATTGGGACCAGGGTGAGCACTCCTCTGCCAATGCTGCTGGAGGAACTGCCCTCAGCGGAGAAAGACGCCAAGGTACCCGTCGACTGGCAGCGGCAGTGTTCAGGCACAGCCTTGCGAAAGGAAAGTGGATTCAGCTGGCGTGTGACGATGATTATTAAGTCACTTTGTGGTGCCGCTTTTATGACAGAATTCATGTTTGTGGGTACAGGTGATTCAATTAAAGTTGTCGTACGTGGGAAATGTTGGAGTCTGTGTGTAGAAGTATGCAGAACTCCAATCCAGGACACTGCGTAACAGTTCGGGTTTTGGATCCAACCAGCAGCTAAACGGCTGTCGCTTTATGTTGGATGTAAAACTCACATGTTCAGTGGTAGACATTATTCCTCTTGAACCACCACTCTGCAAAAAATAAGAGCAAATGCAGTGTGTTTAAAATTAAATCTTAATATTTTTTGATAATTGAATGATTTTTTTAAGAAAAACAGAATCTGGGCTGTTAATAGGTTTCTAGTTTAACCCAGCAGGAGGGGAAAATTCAGAATTAATCTACAGTGCACTTCAACATAAAAAAAAATAAATATTTATCTACAAATGCATCACATACCTTATATTCCTGGAGGGATGGCAGGGACCTTCTGTAATCTGTAAGAATTGTTTACAAAGCAGTGCATTTCTTGAAAAGCTAACATGCATTAAAGCCATTATAAAGAAACAACATTCTAAAATAATGGAGAGCAATTTCTATTAATCTTGGGTGTACTTACATTGTGGGACAGCATGGAAAACATTCAAAAAGACAATGTAGCAGCACTTTGGTATGATTTCCAAATGTGGATGTGGGCAGTCATAAAAATCTGTTCTCTCTTTAAAGTTTAAAAACAGAATAGAGGTATGCAGAAAAATTACAGTAATAATAATAATAATTGCTTACACTTATATAGCGCTTTTCTGGACATTTCACTCAAAGCGCTTTATACCACCACCACCAATGTGCAGCCCCACCTGGATGATGCGATGGCAGCCATAGTGCGCCAGAACACTCACCACATATCAGTTATTAGTGGGGAGGAGAGCAGAGAGTAATGAAGCCAATTCATAGATGGGGATTATTAGGAGGCCATGATTGGTTAGGGCCAATGGGAAATTTGGCCAGGACGCCGGGGTTACACCCCTACATATGGAGATGTATGTTTCTGGTCATTGTTCTTTTTTTCTGTTAAAATGATCAGAGCTCCAGGATGAATTCTGTACCTGTACTTTACTTCTTAGCAACAATGAAAGCTGGCTAAGGCTGGGAGATAGAGGTTAGTTAGCACACAAAGCAGGGAGAAGTTGCTAACAGGTTTGGCTCTCGCTCTGCATGATCCCCTCTGGCTCATTATGTTATTATCCCCTCCCCCAGCCCAGCAGGCCTTAATCCTGAGAGTTCGCAAGAGGCAGGAGTTAACACTGGGGGTTGTGTGGCTGTTGTGATGTTATGCAGGCAGCAGAGGAATCGCTGGAGGACTGGTTTCGCAGCCTCACGGAGCTCACCAGCATGAAGACCGAGGTGTCCCAGTACATCATCGCAGACGACGTGTTTCTGCTGCAGGAGCAGGTCGAGCACCTTCACTGCCAGTGGGAGGAACTGTGTGTGAAGGTGAGTCTGGGACAGGGCTGTGGGTGCTCAGACAAAGAGGGAGCAGACCAAAACTTTACTGTGTGTGTGTGTTTACAGCCCCTTGAGCAGCTTCAAACACTGGAGCATGTTGAGAAAGGCAGCAAATTTTCCTTTGGTCAAGTAGGACAGCGACTGGTGCAATAGTGTTTACTGTATGGCTAGTGTTGTGGCTATAAACAAGCCTCCATTTGCAAAGAGTTCCAAAAGTATCCAATGCTTTGGGGGAGGGGTGGGAATGTGCACAGGTTTCCTGTTTTGTAGGTTTCTAGTGTTTTAAGAAAAGTGGTCCTAAACATTTAAGCCAGTTCAACAGAGATTGTTAAACGAACCCTAGAAATGCAAGAATGGTGCTTTATTTAAAAGAAAAGTGTTGAAAGGAATAATTGAAGCAAATGATAATGAGAAGATAAAAAAACCAATCACTACCGCAATACACTTGCGTTGAACGTTCATAAATGCTGTGAGTGTAGAGTCGTTTTTTAATATGGTCTTGCAAAGTGCTATAGTGATATTATTAACTTAGAAATAATATCTCCAGGCAAACTACATAGAGATGAGTAGACTTACATTTCTAAAATTAAACAGTCTTTGACTTGTTACCTAAATACTGCTGCTGATGATGTCCACACTTTCTGGTGCACGGGGTTTCTGAGTTCAGAGATAGTGCTCTAGTCTAGATGCAGTGGTACAATAAAAGCACAACAGGTTGGCAAGCCAGGTGGCCTCAGCTTCTGCAGGAAGTGCTTTGGAGAGGCAGATGGCTAGGTTGTCATGGGAACCACCAGGCTGCTCTTCTTTGTTTTGGGGATCAGATGCTTGTTTGGGGACCTTTGGGGAGCGCCGTGTGGATTCAGATTGCGTCCCAATATCAATCTCTTGTCTCTTGTCAAAGAAAAGATCGCTCCCTTTTAAAGAAGAGTAAGCCTCTGTCTTGACATTAAATGATTTTAACACTTAACTCAGTCGTTTACTCAGCCTAATGCAGGAGATTTCGGTGGTGTCTCAGCAGGTACATCTCTCTCTGTCACCTCCAGCTGGGCCAATTACAGGTTTCTAAGTGTGCAACAGCACTCTTCTCTGAATTCCAATAAGAATGACTTTCAGATTAATCGGACGCAGTGGCTGCGTGAATTATGGGATTTGCATTAAGCATACTCCCTTAAATATTCCTCTTTAGTATTAGTCTGGCACTATTAAAATAATGTAGACTAATGTAACTTTTTAAAAACTCTACAACACACTGGTAGATTGCACTGATGTAATATTTATTGTATTGTGTTTTGTACAAATTTATTAAACCCTTCCAAACCGATAGTTTTGCATTACAATCCGGGATTTTTAAGACTCAGTTCTTCTGCTAATTATGTCTTTGCTACTTTTGACTTTAACCCTGGTGTCAGGAACAACGTCCTGGTATTTTCAAGGTACAAAACCTTCATTTAATGATACTGAAGCGGCATTTCATAGTATGAAGCAGAACACTTTGATTGCTTATTTTCTAACTGCAAAAATCATTAGCATTAAATGCATTAATGAGAAACAAGTTACTCTTAGCACAGCTCCATGAAGTGTTCAGATTCTCCTTGTTTTCCAGTGATAATTACCTGTCTTAAAAGTAGTGAATTGCACTGGGGGGTGGTTTGCTTTCTGGCTGCTCACATTCCATATGCTGTGCTCCACAGGTGTCTCTGCGCAAGCAGGAGATAGCTGACCGGCTGAACGCCTGGATCATCTTCAATGAAAAGAACAAGGAGCTTTGTGAATGGCTGACACAGATGGAAAACAAAGTGGCGCGCAATGCCGATCTCAGCATCGAAGAAATGGTGGAGAAGCTCAAGAAGGTAAAGCCAGCTCAGGAGGAAATTAATCTGTGTTATACAACATTGACAGAGTCTATAATTAACCTGCAGGCTAGGTTATTAAATATTATGGAGCTAATTTAGTCTGTAACCCAGTGTTAGCAGAAAGTACAGTAAATGGGTTCTGTTGCATTGTGTAGATACGGTAGTTCCTTAGAACAGAGCTGTCATGTACAGCCCTGACTGGCACCTGCGTAATTGACAGTTCTGATGTATTGTATGGACAGTGTCCCGGAAGAGAACTATAGAGGCACAAAGTTGTCTGTACAACAACTGTGTTTCCTCAGAAAGCAATGTTCAGATGTGTCACACAGGCTGTTGTTACGTTCAAAACCTGTCATAGAAACAATCATACAGTTATAACTGCACTGATGCTGGACTGTGCTTGAGGCTGCTTCGCAAAGTCAGTCTGTTTATACTGAAGGTGGAAACCACTAGAAAGGCTCCATGTATCGGTGATAATGTATGACTGTTTTTCAGACACCTTGATGTCTGAAAAATGAGAAGGAGGAAGGAGAAATTTTGCTCATTCTTTGCATCTTCTAGCTATACAGTTCCACTGTCGTGTGGCTCATGTACAGTACAAGGCTGAGCCCCTGGGAGTAGCTCATCCCAGTAGTTGAAGAGGCAGTATGAGGCTTTTTTTTTTCTTCAGACATAAACGAAGGTCCTGACAACTTGGCCATTAAATAACCCAAAACACTGTTGGAAAAGTAGAGGCGTTAACGTTAACCGGTGGTCTGGTTTATCCCAGTCTGGGTTTGTAAAATCTGGCTTCGCTCAAGGTCCCCTCCCTTTATTAGTTAATTTAATTCATCTTATTTCTCCACCCAAAGTGCTGTGTACTGGGGCAGCGTGTGCAGAACGGCTGCCCTGTGTCATCCAGGAGGCGCTGCACTTCACTGGTGGATGTAGTGGGTCCCCTCGACTGCGATTAGGATGTTGGGAAAATGCTCTGTAAACAGAATTAATGAATTCTTATGCTTAGTGAGTGTTTGCCGTGTAAACGATTCTGCAGCACACACATTGCACACTGTAATTGGGGGGTTGTGGGAGAGTTAGAGTTTATGCAGAGTTTATGTCAGTCTTTGGCTCTGACTTTATCAGCTTGGCTTTATGATTTATACCACACCAACATAACCAGAGGATGAAAGTTCACTTTAAAAAAGGAAGGGCCATTCAATAAAGTGTCAGAGTCTGCCGTGCTACTGCACACAGAAGACGCTGCCTTACTGGGATTAGACATTTGATGTTCTTCTTTGTGCCTCAGTTCTCGGAGCAAGACTCAGGCAGTGTTGTGCTTGAAGCCAGCAGGGAATTGCTTTGAGTTGGTACGGCCCCTTTTCTCATAGCAGTGCTTTGAAAAGACCCAAGGGAGAGGAGAAGGGGGGAGGGGGGTGTCGTTGGAGGACAACAAAGATAAAAAAGTACCTGCTTCCTGTTGCTCTTTAAGGACTGCATGGAAGAAATCAACCTCTTCAGTGAAAACAAGACTCACCTGAAGCAGCTAGGAGAGCAGCTGATCAAGGCCAGCAACAAGACCAAGGAGACAGAAGTTAATGACAAGCTGAAGGACATCAACGACCGCTGGCAACACCTGTTCGACCACATTGAGGCCAGGTAAGGATATCACTGCTGACTGCAGACTGAGGTGTAGCATGCACAAGCCTTGGAATCACTACCAGGGCTACTGAAACACCTAACACTGCACACTGTTGAAATCTCAAGAACACTTATAAAGAGTAATTTATTGCTTGATGTGTGTGGTGCACATCTAAAATGGTTTTGTGGTTAAATGGTTAAAGTGCTGCCATTCTATCTAACTCCTACAATAATAAATTAATAATAATATGAAGCCGCTCATTAAAGTGACAAGAAAGTGTTGGGGAGACAGATGAGTGCTGCGCAGTGCTCTGAAGCTCAGTGGGAACGTATGGGGAATTGAAGTGTTTGCAGTGGTGCTCACCCATGTCTTTTAGAAATAGTTATAGTAATGTCTGGCTGAGTCTGTCTGAAGCTATGGGAGTGGGACTGTCATTCCCTGTCAAGAGCCCAGGTGAAATGCATTTTCCCATTTAGTAGCAATGATTAATCTTATGACTGGAAGGAAGCAGATCTACTGTTTTGTGTGATGTGGAATTCGTGATTAATCACATGCAGTTGTGTCAGAATGGAATTTCACTGGGGTATGGAGTATTCAACTCTCGCTTTTCACAGCCCTAAACAGGTTCAATAAACTGTTCTTCCACTGATCTGCCTTCAGAATCCCCACCGTTGTGTCCTGCCCTTTACTTCAGCACATCCAAAATACTGTTGTTATGTTATTTATATTGCCTGAATCGAGGCAATATTTAGCACAGGGCTGAGTTATGGAAGGCTGCTAGCTTTCAAGTGATTAATTGGAGCTAAGAGGGTTTTACTTGTTGTCACGATGATAAAAATGCGAAATCTCCAATGATTAATTCATGGAGAGAGTTGAGCTGTCTGTAATATTGTTCAAAAGTTTTTAAATCAACATGACTGAAGGCAAATCATGGGTTACGGAGTCTCTGCGAAATAAATTTTCTTCGTTCAGCATTGTTACTTTAGAGTGAATTTTAAGTATTAGCTGCTTGTCTTTTCATTTTTACCCTTGTCATGCCTCTAACCTACCCACCCATCTTCCTTCCCAATTTAGTTGAGTGGAAATATGTCTCTATAATTCTGAGCCAGTTCGATTTCTAACAAGCACACGTGTTCTTGGTGCTGTATGTAGCTATGAAGTAGAATAGTGCTTCTTTGAAGAGCTCTTTCCTCTTTGTGGTGATCTTGATGAGTACACTGTCGTGATTGAGCAGAAGTGGTCCCTGCATCTTCCCAATATACTGTATGTAAACATCCACCCAGAAAACGGTGGCAGTCATTAAGAAAGTGCACGAGGGGGTCAGATGTTCTCTCTGAACTCTCTGAAGTGCCCGCCAGGCAGATGGCCGAAGCAGCCGAAGCTGGGATTTAGCGGTGATGCTTGTTCTGTTCTTGTTGACGACAGTGTCAGATTTGCCATATGGCAGGGGCTACAGTGCCGCTCACATGCTGCCAGAGTTGTTTAGATGCCCCCCCCCTCCCCGGCTGACAGTGGGCGGAGGCTGTCCGATTACATTAGCGCTGAAGTTCCATTAGAACGCAGTAGAAGAGGGCTGGAGGCCAGGATTAGCCAGCATTCCACACTCTCCATACAAGCCATTCTGCTCCTGTTCTATTGAGAATGCCGTGGAGTGGACATCTGTTATCTAGTTAGACAGACAAGGCAGTGCTCTCCGTACTGGTTTTAACAATGCACTATGACGGCTTTCTTTTCAGCACTCTTAATTGAGTGTGTACATTTGCTCATTCTAATCCCTGTACCAGAATTTTGCATTGTAAATGAAACTGCATTCAAGATGCATCTTTACAGTTTTAGTGTCAAAGTTCTTGAAGTGTGCATTGCCGTTTCAACGTTATTTAGCAATTTGCTATTCCTATTAATTACCGTGCGATTGGTCGTCATAGAAGCGTGGTCTTGTTTTATGTAAAATATTTAACTGTAGGTCAGTTTGAAGGGAAAACTTTGGAAGAGCAAGCTTATTTTAATGCGCCAGACCCTGCTTTTTCCTGCAGCCTCTGCCCATGTGTTTGCAGTGCCTGAGGTGAAGTTAAGCAGGAATGCCTGCTGTCCTGGTGCTTTCCCATGTTGACCTTTCTCTCGCTCAGAGCGTCTGTTACCCTGACCGACTCTGCTGGCCCTTGTTTGTTTCAGTGTCAGAGACTGGACCCGTGCTGAATTCCCTTCAAACCTGCAAATGTTTTTCCCAGCCTCCCAGTGTTGTCTGAACTCACTCCGCAGGCGGTATTAAATCATCCGCCCAGTACGATCGCTCTGAATTTCCTGTTAACTTCTCGTCACCAGTATAGCTACATATAGGGAGGACTTGTGCAATAGCCTGTGAGCGGTGTCCGCATGCTCCAATTTGAGTGGAAAATCTGGTAATGACCCTTCCCACTCATGTTTCGAAGTCGTACGGTGAAGAGAAGGGTGAGGGTCAGGCCCTTCCATTTCCTGACGGCTTCTGCCGTTTCCCAGTGTGCTGGCAGGATGCCAGGGGACGTCGCTGGACGTTTGGGAGTGTGCTGGAATTGCGGGAGTCTCTGTGGGCCATTTTCCCCTTTGAGTCTATGGAAATCACTCTGTCTGCGATCTTAGGAGGCCCTCACGCTGAGTAATCCCCAATTGTTTTAGGGATGAACATGCTGCACGTTACAGCAAGATTTCACTGTGCCTGTCCTGCTACTGTGGAGGTGGCTTTGACATAGGATATACGGGGGCGTGTGTTAACTTAAATGTTTAATTAAAACAGATTTTTAAATTATAAAAAAGAAAAAACATTTTTACGTATTTCAAAGATTTGATTTTTAATGATATATTATATGTACTGTCGACAATCTTTTGTAAGATTTCTGATATATAGTACATATCGTACCCTGGGAGAAACGGAACCGGGATCACCGTGAGTCTGCACCCTGCGTCTCCCAGCACGACATGGGGAGACAGCCCTGGAAGTCGTCTGCCGGGGGGGGGCAATATTTTGCAGCCATCTTTTGTTCCAAAACATAAGCGGTTGCGGTTGGCTCCACGCCTGCAGCTGCTGTCTGCGCGCTCTTGTCATTGTGCTGCAGGCCAGACTGCTGCTAGATGGGGTCCAGATTGTCTGAACGAATCGTGTTCTAAGCAGATGCTCGTGTCCCCTGTTATCCAGTTTCCTGACCTTTCTGGCCTGGGTTTCTGGCTGTTGCTCATATCCTTCTTTGTCAGTCTCTGATTTAAGGCTGGCTGCTGTTTGAAACCTCTGTGTCAACAAAGTACGTGGAAAGAGAGGTTTGTTTTGAGCTGCTCGTTACTTTTCAGCATCTTTTTTTGGAATCCTCAGAAGTTGGATGTGTATGATGAAATTATTTTTATAAATATAATGAAGCATTATCATTAGAGTGGGGAGTTGTGTGTGTGAGCTGCAAAAGAAAAAGTACAACTTAATGAAACTTTTTTTTCTTTAATTTTGCTATTCAGCACACAATTAACCTCTACTTTATGTGTTGTATTTAGCCAACAGACTAATGAGGGTGAAAAAGCTGCCTTTAATGTGACACTGCTTTAAATTTAAGCCTAGACTTACTTATTATGTGGAGTTTATGTTGCTATGGCTACATATTTGTGCTGGAGAAATATGGCATTATGGTGCTTCTCAGTTGTCATGGTTACCCAGAAGCTCAGGGCAGGGAATGGGACACCTGACTGAGTCCTGAAATCGTGTGGGTCAGGGAGGGCCTGGCCCGTTCTCTGATGGCCAGGAATGTGAAAGCTTTTCTTTTCCGAATATCTGGACATGTGGGATCTTCCACATCAAGCTGTAAATATATTGTTACAGTACTTTTTTTTCTTTTGTCGTGTCAACAATTTCATTCTAAAGACCATTTCCTGTTTAAGGAACTTACATCATTTACCTCGAGAGGGAAAAATCAAGTCTCCAGATCAAAGATTAGTAGGGTTTGATAGTCAGAATCATAACTTTGGAATTTACACCTGCAGTTACCAGCTCCATGAGTTGATAAATGAGGGCTATAAAACTGCAGACAGTAAAAACGGGTCTGATGTGCCTGTTCCAAGTGGCTGGTTAGAAGTGGCTCTGTGTTTGGCCCTTCAAGCTGCCTCTCATGTCTGCCAGTGGAGGGCGCAGCCTTGGGAGGGCACTGTTCTTGGCTCTCCTTGCCTCTTAATCCTCGCCCCCAGGGACTGCCAGGGATAGGCATGTCTCGGGACCCGTCCTTCAAGCCAGTCGGTTTCGTTGAGCTGTTTCTCCGTCGTAAAATGCTGACGCTTCCTCTTGGGGTGGAGGACTCTGTATTTGTCCTTTTCTCTCTGGCCTTACTCTCTCTGCTTGCTTTCCTGTGAGCACTGCGGAGGTGAAGTGCTGCTGCTTGGTGTTGAAGTCTTATTCGCAGAGGACCTTGCTATAGGGTGACTTCAGATTGTTTTCACCCCTCTCTTGCAAAGAGGGAGAAAAAAAGATGTTAATTCCACACTGGCGGGCATGCGGTTTCTTTTATTTAGCTCTGGGTTCCATCTCCTGGTAAGGATAAACTATCAGCCTGCAATTAATCTGTGACTCACAGATTAACTGCAGACTGATATTTCATCCTTACACAGGAGCCTATCAATTAAATAGTGTGCTCTTCAGGGCCCACTGTTTATCCTAAGGTTGAGCTATTTTGAGTTCGAGAGCCCACTGACAAGGCGAAGAAGAGTCCTGTTTCAGAGGCACATGTGAGCTGTTCTGTAACATAAGCGAATCAGTGAATTCATTTCATATGTTCTGCTGTTGCAGCTTGAAAAGATGACACACGGTACATTTTTTTATCCTTCCATCCTTTATATCATTGTAACGGCCATACTACAGTACTCTGTGCGGGGCTGTTGTTGAGGTGCTGTGAATGTCTTATTTGATTCTTCCATGGCTACTCAGGTGTATAGCTTATCAACTTACACCACACTGATCTTCTGCAAGCCTTCTCTTTCTGTTCACCCGCATTAAGTGTTAATCGGGTGCAAGGAAACTTTAGTTGTTTCCTCCTTCTGCATAGCAACCATTATAGGAGAGGCATTTCAAAACGGCAACAGTGACGTGGGCCTGAGAGAGGGTCAGCTGCCTTAGAAAAAGAGGGTCAGCTGCCTGGTTAAGGTCTGAGGTCCCGGCAAGGTGAAAGGTTAAGTGTGAAAAGGAGGGAAAGAACAGAAGTATTTCTCCTGCACTGAGAATTATGTTCAGGTACTCCATTTTTTCATTTGTGAGACTGATGAGTGATACATGAAGCAAGTGTTTAATAAGCTCAGGGGAATTTATAATTGATCCTCTCTGCTCTGGCTCTCTCTCTGCTGGTAAATCAACTACCGATGTCGTTGCACCGGATGAGCTCACATTCAATTTGACTTTATATCGGTGTAACACAGTGTTTTATGTTTACAGAGCCCCCTTCAAGTTTTTTTACCAAACTACTTGCGTTGACTAAATGAACGTTAACCTTACACCTGATGTTTAGTCGGTCCATTAAAGTTGCTCAAAGCATGGTTTTTTTTTTTTGTCCTTGGAGCTGTGGGCAGGGACAGTAGCGGTTTAGTCCGTGTCGGATTTTTTGTCTAGCACAAAGCCGGCCTCTCCTTGCGACACCCCTTGCGAACTCACGGCGGCCTCCGCGCGTGACTTAATTAGCCCGACAGGTCGTCCGCTTTCCGAGACTTTTCCCTCCTTTTTCCTTCCCCTGGTGTGAAGAGCGGCTGCCGTCGCTGTGATAGGCGGGCGAACGAGCCTGTGGCCGGCCCGAGAGGAGCTGGGCCAGTGAGTAAGGAGGCCATTAGCAGGGGGGAGGGGACTAGCAGTGTGCAGAGCATGAAGGAGGCAGAGCCAAGGCAAGGACTCTCAGCTGGGTGACATGGACTAGCCTCGTAGAGCAGTAAGTAGGTTTTGTTTTTTTGCAGTAATCCTAGCTCTTTTACACTGGTGCGGTATCGATTAAGAATAGAAATTGGCGGCGAGATTAGTGAACGTTTAGCGTGCAGTGTGAGTGAGGAGGTGCAGAGATGGAGAGAGAAGGAGGGGGATGGGCTCTGCTTTGTCAGCATGTATGGGTGCCTGCCTGCCACTACCAGGCTGATACAGAGAGACTTTCTCCGTGCAGGGCGGAAGATGAGAGAAACCTGTTTTGCCTACCACCACCCCCAACATTTTTTTCAATTGCATGAAGCAGAGATCTACTACCTGAATGAAATCACCGTTTTAGGTGCATTGTTCGCTGCAGAGAGATCAGTGCGATGGACTGAGCTAACAGGCTGTTATGAAAATGGTACAGCCCCACTAGTTTTGACACATGAGCTTAGGACATCTCATGTTGCCTGTGTTGCTGCATGCAGTGCAAGCTTCACCTTTCACAAAGACAAGGAAGCCCTTGATGGGGAAAAATCTGGAGACCTTGAAGTCAACACATTTAACCAGGCAGCAAAGTCACACAAATTTAAAATGTAAAAAAAAAAATGCAGAGCAGAGATCCAGGCATAAAATCTAGTAGCAGGTTCACTTAAACAAGGCTTATCAAGTCATGGCCTTCCACTAATGAGTATAAATTGACAGTAGCATCTAAACTGAACTTGATTGGCTGACCTGATGTCTTCATTTGACTGTTGTATTATATGAAAATAAGAGGCTTTCAAAGGCGCCTGAAAATGAAAGCATTTCTTGTCATCTGATTATCGTACAGAATAATAAGCGTAATCTACTGGCCTGCTAAATACTGCACGGGGCATGTTTTCAGTCAAGACTTGCAGAGATAATCACAGAATATAGTAAATTATATATAGTACCAATATATGTACTACAGAATTTGTCAAGTATGGCTGAGTCTGTCTGGTTTCTGTGGCATGCAGGGGATCTGCTCAGAGAATGTCATATACAGTTGAGAAATGGTTCATTTCCGTAGCAGAGCCTGTCTAAATATTCCAACGAAATAGTTCATAGTTAACCTGGGGAACCTGGGGCTAATATTTGCTTCCATTTTTTTTAGGCATGCAATTTATATTGTCAGAAACAAGCACCCTCCTGTAAAAGGATAAATCATGCTCCCTGAACTTAACAGTCGCAGGAAGAGGGACTACAAACTGCTGCTGAATTGTAATGCGCGTTGTTCACTGTGACACAGGTAGAGCAGTGTGCACTTCTCTGATCTCCCCAGATGTAGCAAACGAGCTGATGTGCTTCTCAGAGCAGACGGAAATAATCCCGTTTTAAGAGGGATTTGGGGCTTTTCCCATTAAAATGTAGGCTGAATTATGTGACAGTGCTTGGCTTTGTGGTGAGCTTTTAGAACACAAGAACAGTTACACATAGAAAGAGGCCTTTCATCTCATCTTGTTCATTTGGAGTTTTTCCCTGCTCTGTTGTTAGCACATATGGATTGGGACCTAGGATTTAATATCATATCGGTGCATATACATTATGCTGTCAAGTCATCTTCCATGAATCTTACATTAGTCTTAAATCATTTTAATTTTGTCCGTGACAGTGACAAAAGCATTCTCTCTCACTATTTTTATCTGGCAATATTCTAACAATATATTGGTTGGTCTAAACTAGATCGCACATTCAGACATGAAAAGTATGATTTCTCAAGGGATTGCTGGAACAGATAATTCAGTACATAGCTCCTCCCTCTCCAATATCTGGGTGAGTCGCACAGTTCACAGATCACACATTCTGCTGCTTCTTAAAGTGTCTGTACATCTGGCCTCTGACTCCAGAGCTCCATTGCTCAGAGTCCCTGCCTTTGTTTGAACATGGACAACACTCGGTGAGGGTGATTTCCAGGCACAGGCCCTGCGAGCAGCAATGCTTGATGGCCTGAATGGTTGCAGGGTGAAGAAGCTGAAGGATACACTGGCCACGGTACAGCAGCTGGACAAGAACATGAGTAACCTGCGCACCTGGCTGTCCCGCATCGAGGCAGAGCTGGCCAAGCCTGTGATCTACACCATCTGCGGCGATGAGGAGATCCAGAGGAAACTAGCAGAACAGCAGGTGGGTGGAGGACTCGCAAGGACCTTGTTTTTTATTTCCTAGAACAAACGGATTAAAAAAACAAATATTTATTCAACAGGTATCTTCAAAAGCTGGCATATTTCGTACAGCCAGAAGGCTGATCTGTGGTGGGCTCCTGTCCTGTGATCTTAATGGGTTGCAGGAGGCAGCTGTGCTATAGAGAGATTGTACTTATGGCCAGCAGGAGAGATTTCCACTGAACAGACTTGTATGGGACTTTTGCAGGAGGGATGGTTCACCTACTGTCTCTTAATAGATGTTAATTAGAAGAAAATAAGTCACAGTCTTCTGCATTTTGCAGTACATCTTGTCTGATGGCTGAGAAGCCAAGACGGGCAGAAGTACTTGGACAAGGGCAAAAAACAACTTTGATCGTGACAGCAGTGGGCCTCTGCAGAGGGAGGAAGTGTCACAGGTTCCATTACTGCAGTGACGGATGGCAAATAGACAAGGAATACATTAACATCCTATTTCACCTCCTGCACTGTGTAGACATCTTATTACTACTAATTGTTGGGGTCCCTAGTAATTCTGCACCCCCAGCAAAGGGAGTACTGGCCTTCTGTGACAATAATGGAGTACTTATTGCTGTTGCTGGTAGTCTATCCATCTTCATTCCGTTAGCTGTTGTGGCTAACATAATCTTGGCTGTAAAATCCCTAAAGAAATAAAGATGCTACAAGCACTGACAGCAGAGAACAACACAGCAGATATCCAAAGATTCTCATGTTTAATTAACACCGTCAGTGTGGAAATGAGCAGCAGAAGGGTTAATTGCACTGGTTGCTTGCGAACTCCTGTAAGGTGATTTGCATGTTTTTAATCCTGGGTCAGAGATGGAGTGTACCCATGTCTCTTTCTGCTCCATTGCTTATTAATACTCATTAACATCTCAAAACAAACTGGGTAGCCCCTCAGCTTTACAAAGCCAATCTTAATTACCTTGTAGGAAAGTGAACTTGGCCTTGGTGCAATACATCTAATGACCCAGTGTAAAGATTTTGACTGGAGCAAAAGGGATTATGCTTCGGTATTTACGTGTTATCCAGATTTCTTAACATAGTATGCCACCCAGAGAGCCTGTTTAAGCCCTTGTGAAGTTATATTATATAAGTTATATAAGTGATATCTGCTACAGTGAAATGGGGTTATTGGGTGCTATAGCTCAACAGAGCCTCTGAGGGTGCAACTTCCTCAAAGCAACTTGCGGAAGATGTTCCTCTCGCTCAGATGATGGTAAGGACATGAGAATGTTTATGCATGAAGTATTAAAACTTGATAATACGCTGCATTTGCAAAATATTTATTTAAGCACAGTTAATCTCCTAACTAAGAGCAGTAAACCATTTTTACATCTGGTTCTCGGTGCCTCTCCTCCACTTCAGTTTCTAGTTGCACTATGTGTAATTTGTCAAGTGTAAGTTTCTCTTTTTGAAGGGCGGTTTTAAGAGTTTAACACAGATGCTCACTGGGTTCATTTTGCTTGTAACTGGAGGTTCAGTCTCCTGCAGGCCTGTGGCTGTGCAGGGATCATGAAGGCCAGGAAGACAGTTGCCAAAAGGCACTTTACCGAGTAAACAAAGTCTTGGTCTCATTGGGCATCTTCACACCACGCTCTCATTTCATCAGACGTGGCTAGAAGTGAAAGATATGTAAAAGCTGTACTTCCTGCAGAGTGAAATAGCTGTTCCGCCAGCAAGATCCTCTTGTTAGACTTGTAGGTCTTTGTGCACGTAGAGTATGGGTATCTGCAGAGTAAGAATAACAACAACAACTAATATTATAGTAAATTACATTTACTTACGTAGCATAAATACATTTAAAAAATGATTCCAAAAGCTCTTCACCTCACAGCAGGTCAGCAAGCAATAAACTGTAATTATTAGGAAAGGCTCATGCACATCAGTGTGTTTTAAACTGTATTGGAGTCTTGGAGTAAAAGAGCTGGATGAGTAGTTGCTCACATAGTGCAGGGTGAGTATACACTAGACTCCACAATGTGCAGAATGCGGGGCTAGATGAAGGGACATTGCAGAACTGCTCTTCAGGTGAACATGAAGGGAATCCACTCTGTCGCCCTTATGCATCAGCGGGGTCTGCAGACTTGTAAACTTCCTCTGCGTTCGTGCGCGCGCGTGTGTCCCAGGACCTGCAGCGAGACATTGAGCAGCACTCGGAGGGCGTGACGTCGGTCCTGAACCTGTGCGACGTCCTCCTGCACGACACGGACGCCTGCACCAGCGAGACGGAGTGCGACTCCATCCAGCAGACCACCCGCAGCCTGGACCGCCGCTGGAGGAACATCTGCGCCATGTCCATGGAGAGGAGGTTTAAGTGCGTGGTGCCGCCTTGTCTGGGGACACTCGGCCCCATCACCCACACCTTCTGCACAGGGCTGCTCGATAGCATGGTCTTGATGCGGGGCATGTTGGCTTGATGGCTGAGAGATTCCTGTTCAGATATGGAGATGGGTGGGGCTTGAACAGAGCCGGAGCGAAGCAGGGAGCAGAAATTATTCCGACATCTCTATCTTCCCTTTAATTTTCCTTCTGTGCAAAACTCAACACACGTTTTCACATTGCTGTACAGTACAGTAAACCCTCTGTTTAATGGACTGATAAGGGGGAAGGGATGTCCATTTTTTCCAAATGTCTGTTACATCACAAATTATGTTTTTTTCAGGTAAAAAACACACTATCACACTATCATATGAAAACATAGGTATTTGTGTGTTTAATGGAACTCCTTCACTTATTCTTCAAACAATTGCAAGTAACACAGTCAATGAAGAGTGTCCCTGTGCCTTCTGTAACATAAATATACAAGCGGTTTATTTCACGTGTCAGAAACATACAGTATTGTATCAAAACCATCAACGCCCATCATAAGTATCTGACCTTCTCTTACAGGGCACCATTGATATTCCTGAATGTTAAACTTATGTAGCGTTCTATTTTTAACTTGTTTTTACTATTTTCTCATTGTTCCAGGGAAAGGCCGGCTGTATTTCTGATTTTACAGATAAAATTCCCCTTTTAGCAGTTTTTTTATCTGTGAAATCCGAAGTCCACTGACCCGAGGGTTTACTGTACTTTGGAATGTTGTAAACAGCGAGGACCCCAAAGCTATAAAATAGTTGACCTACTTTGTGCCACCCCAGGATCGAGGACACCTGGAGGCTGTGGTGCAGGTTCCTGGAGGACTATTCGCGCTTCGAGGACTGGCTGAAGACCGCCGAGAGGACGGCGGCCTCTCCCAACTCCGCGGAGGTCCTCTACACCAACGCCAAGGAGGAGCTGAAGAAATTCGAGGTAGCACCTTGTTTAAAAACCGCTCGAAACACAGCAGGCCTCTTCTAGGACAGAAAGCCCTCTACCTGTTGGGGTGTTTACTGCGTATGCACCAGACCATCCTATTAATAAATACAATTGCAGACATTTATGACTAGTGTGATGCTGGTGAAAACAGTATTTCTGGTCAACCTCAACTTTCAACAACTCAACAAGTAGTGGATTATAAAAACCCTCTTTTACACATGAGTTCATCATCGCCTTATTTCTTGTCCTCTTTATTCTGCTGTGTGAGTCTGAAGGAACTGCCGTTTGCTCTGCATTCGCTCAGAAATTAGACACTTTCTGTGTTCTGTTAGACCTCGCATACAGCAGAGAGAAGGATTTGAAAAGTTAAGGAGAAAATAACTTGATACTGATAAGAGAGGAGGTTACTCTCGGGAGAAATCCTATTCTCTTGGTGTCACTATAAAGCTAGAGATTCACGGATTTGGATATTCATCTGATCATAACAACATCCCTCTTCGACAAGCAAGGCACTTCTGCATGTTTCTGCATATGCTTTCAGAGTGAGATTGTTTAAAAAAAAAAAACTGAGATCTTTTTTTCAGCCTGTATCTGTTTTGATCAGTAAATGTTCTGGACCCTTTTACAATAAAATCTGTTAAAATGTCTGGTCTTAGTGAATATTTTAACCGCAAGGGAACTGTCTTCCTTGTCTTTGGAAGGAAAATTTAAAACATCCACATGCCCACATGTGACCGCTCCAAATCCCTGTGATCTGGATTTGTTTCGCAAGCATACAGGAGTTGTAAAGTCAAGGAGTGTGGGGCAGGAATGTCACACATGTTGGTCACAGTCATTGCATGTGTAGGCAATGAGCCTTCAGCTACTGTACAGTCAGTTCCTAAGGGGAGCCAGAATCACAGACGGGACCTCCAGTTGAGCTCTCATGGGAAGTCTGGATTCTGCCAGGGAGCGAACGATTGCTCCTGTTCGCTTCCCTTGGCCTGACGGAGGTCACTCATCTCCCTTCCTCCCCTCTCTCCCAGGCATTCCAGAGGCAGGTCCACGAGCGTCTGACCCAGCTGGAGCTGGTCAACAAGCAGTACCGGCGCCTGGCCCGAGAGAACCGCACCGACGCGGCCAGCCGCCTCAAGCTCATGGTCCACGAGGGGAACCAGCGCTGGGACAACCTGCAGAAGAGGGTGTCCGCCATCCTGAGGAGGCTGAAGGTGGGTCTTTCTCCCCTCCTGGCAGCTGGCAACCCAGGGACTGTCCTAAAGTCTGTCGTTCTTGTATACCTCATCACTGGTCAGGACGGATGAAAGATGTCTGTGGGTTCTGTTCCTGTCAAGTTCCTGGTGGTGTTGAGGTAAGTATAGAAGCCCCTGTACTACAGTACAACATGGGCAGAGGAGGAATGTGCCAGACATGTCTCATCTCTAGATCTCCAGCCATCTCTGACTTCAATACCATTCTGTCTGTCCACACCCTTCCAGAGAAGATGTAAAGACCTGGTTGAATTTTGTTCAACCAGTTTGAAAACTGTGATGGAAGTATGTACTGAATGTATCTCAGTGAAAATATGTCAATTAAAAGATATACAGTATATTTAGCAAATAAGTTTCAAAACCTGGAACCTTTTAGTGCTTATATTTTTTAAATTGTTATACATTAGCTCAGGAACCCGTATTAATATAGAGATTACAGTTAAAACAGGTAGAATTTTCTGGTGACAATTACTCAAGTAACCCACAGAGGTCACAGAGAGCACATTCAGAAAAATACTTCTAAAGATTACTAGATTGATCCCATACTTTCTTTTAGGAATCCTGAACCGTGTTCAGAACAGGTCCAGCAGTACGTCAAATTAATTCATGTTGCTGTCAATGTTGAAAGATGTCCTACTTTGTCCTGCCACTAGGGGATATCCTGTTGAAATATCAAGGCAGCCCAGTCCACATCAGCTGAGATTCAAGCAGTTGCTTTTACTGATCTATATTTGTACTGCCTGAACTGTCAGAATTAAAATGCAATGTTTCATTATGTTTACTATAAGCACTTTTCTTTTATGAACCTCTGTGGGACATAGTCTGAACTTGACCTTTTCCACGCTTTTTTAAAAAGTTTTTTTTTTGCTTTTTATCAAATCAAGTGAAAGAGAAACAATTTTAGAAAAGCCTTGCCTCACATTGGTATAATAATCAAGGGGGTACGTTCATTTTGACTGATGAAATCTGCAGAATGTTTTCATTGATTTGGGCTAGTCTCTCAGGTGGAGCTGATGCAGACACATATCTATAATATAGCCTGCTGGAAGACTGTGTATTGGACCCTCTGGCTGTGTTTCCCTGCTTCTCACGCCTCCCTGACTACTCCTTATCAGAATCCTTCAGATGTGGTGTGTAAAGAATAACTATTGAAAGATTGTTAGTTTCTTTAGATGCAGTTCCTCTGGTTGTGTGGGTGGGCGTAGGATATCCATCGGAATATCAGACAGAAAGTATTTGAGCAGTTCCTGTCCTGGATCGCTACGCTGCCTGCCCGCTCCAGACCCCAGAGAGCACCACTTTCATCTCGCTCCTTCTCCGCCCTTTCCCGCCCACAGCACTTCACGTCCCAGCGGGAGGAGTTTGAGTCCACGCGCGACGGGATCCTGGTGTGGCTGACGGAGATGGACCTGCAGCTGACCAACGTGGAGCACTTCTCCGAGAGCGACATCGAGGACAAGATGAGACAGCTCAATGTGAGGCTCCAGCGCGGCTCGTTCGCTCGTTCGCTCGCTCCCGTCTGCCCGTGGTTAAACTGCTCACAGGGGTGCCAGAGTTGCCAGGGTTTTTAAACTGGGGTTCTTTCCTTATTTGGAAAAGGTATTCGGAAACACACGGGTGGAAATTGTTGAATGTAAAAGGCCCACAGTGAGATAGATGGGCTACAGCCGATCATCCCTGTTTTCAATTCAAGGTGCGTTATTAGCATGACCGATGGGTACAATCAGTGTTGCCAAAGCAAATAAAATAATGAAATTCACATGAAACAAAACAAAAAATCAAATTAATATAAAATCTACAGACATTTACAACAATGACATATTTTAAAATATTTACATACTGTATACTGTAGACAGAAGGCGCATTATTGGGAGACAGACTCACTGTTCCAGTGACAAGAGATCACATACTGGGCTGTTTAAACTGTTTACAGGGAGTACAGTTATACAGTTTTATACAGTTTTCACCCACTGTATCTGCAGGTTGTAGAGTGCTGTGAATCCAGAAGATCTCTCAATCCTCACACCACAGCACCTGGACTAGTAAGGTCCACAGCGCTAGGCAGGGTAAAGCCCAGCAATCGCGTGCTGTTCTAGCAGGTTTCTGTTTGCGTTTGCGTGCACGCAGGGGTTCCAGCAGGAGATCATGCTGCACACCAACAAGATCGACCAGCTGATCGTGTTCGGGGAGAACCTGATCCAGAAGAGCGAGCCCATTGACGCCGTGCTGATCGAGGACGAGCTGGAGGAGCTGCACTCCTACTGCCAGGAGGTCTTCGGCAGGGTGGCGCGCTTCCACCACCGCCTGACCAGCCGAGGGCTTGTGAGTGTCTGCAGGGGTTGGGAGGAGTCCTGCACAGTTACTTAATCTGGCCCAACTGCAGTCCTAATCAGGCATTAATTAAGGGCTGCCCACAAACCTTGTAGGCATTGGCCCCTGCCAGGCCAGACTGCTTACCTCTTGTTCCCAGATCGGTGTGCTTGAAGGTTCTGCGCTGTGCTCTACGTGGCGGGAACAGTGTTGGATTGGAAGGGGTTGTGTACAGCTTTGTGAAACTTTATTCTGGAAAATCCTGGGTATTTATCATGGGTCGTGAAGCCCGGTGAAATTTGGGAGAGGTATGCTGAATGGAGGAGAAAATGCGCGCATGGCAGAGAAGCGAATCGTTTCTCTTCTATTGAAACAGTACGGGAAGGGGATTGATATTGTGGGTTTCTGTCTCTCGCTGTCTGCCTCGTGTGATGACGCCCTTGTCCCCCCTGTGCCCAGATGTCGGAGGAGGAACGGGAGCTTTCTGACCGTGACACTGACCTGGACGAATCCTCAGAGCTGCAGGGGGTGTGCTGGGAAGGGGGAAAGGAGGGTCCCGAGACCTCGCCCAGTCACCAGGCCATGTGCCACCTGATGCCCCCAGCCCCTGGCCAGGAGCGCTCGGGCAGGGAGACGCCCGTCAGCGTCGACTCCATTCCCCTGGAGTGGGACCACACCGTGGACGTGGGGGGATCTTCGTCACACGAGGATGAGGAGGAGGCTACTTACTACAGCGCACTGTCAGGTACCCTACTCTCTGCTTAATGGACATTGTCTACACCAGGGGTGTGTGTACCTATTGAAAGACTTCAGGCCTTCCAGAGCTTCTGTTGCTGAATTACTCCTTAATTGTATAAGTATCCTTTATGTTTAAGTATCCCCTAATTACAAAACAGGCACTAATTAGGCACTAACTACAAAACTGTTTGAATATACCAGGGGGTAATTCACTTTTATAGCTGTGGTGCAGTCCATAGCAAATTTTAACATGATCTCTTCTTTATGATATGATGGAAATCAGGAAGCACACAGTACCAGTTATATTCCTCTTCCTAGCTTTGACCTAAACAAAGTACACACAGCCTTTCTTCCACTAATGCAGAACCCATGTTCTTACTATTTTACATTTTTTCCCCTAAATTTTACACTTATCTTCCTGCAACAGTGGTGGTATTCCCCACATGTCAACTCCAGTTGCTATTGCAGGTTTTTCAGTGAAGGTACCAGACTGCTTCAATATTTTTAGACCCTTTCGGCAGATGTTTCAGCAAAAATAAAAAATGTTAGGGTGCTTGCACTGGCTGGACGTTCAGAATTGGCACCTCCGATGTTTACATGTAGCAGAGGATGTACTGTACCACAGGTTTGACACAGTCTGAGTGCATCCAATGGAAAAAGTTGGAAGGCTTCGAAACTGTTAATTAAACTCTCTTTAAGAACCTAGTTCATTAAAGGAAAATCATCCCTTGATTATTCCTAGTTAGATCCAGTTGGATGTTCTACAGGGGCTTGGCCTTATGACAGCAGACAGCCTACACTACAATGTCTTTACCAAGACTGTCTCATTCCTGAGGTGTAGCCCATGTGTTCCACATTACAGGATTAAAGACAAGGCAGAACATTCTGCAACTCTGCGTTGTTTTTACTTTGCCTTATTGAAAGCAGAGCTGTCAGTACAGTGTAAATCTGTCAGCACCATGTCCTGTGGGACTTCTTTCCTCCTCTCAGCTGGAGCTGCCTGGCGGTAAAGACAACATAATCAGGCTCTTATTTGAAACAGTTTTATCACCTCTTCAGTTAGACTCATTTCCAGGTTTTGGGAAAGGTAGTCATCTTTTTTATTTCTTTTATCTTCAAGTTGTGAAAAGTGTTGCATTTAGGAATTTTATATCATTTTTCACAATGGAAACTTGTTTATAGGGAGGTTTTTTTTCACATATTGGTATCCGACATCTGGGCTTTTTCCTAACCAGCTTGTTGCAGCTGGTGTGATGCCGCGCTCCATGTATCTGCCTGGCCTTGGACAGTCTGTGGTTGCAGATTGAAAGGCGTTATTTTCATTCGTCCTGCCTCCCCCTTTCCCTGGAATCCCAGAGAACGGATGCTTTGTAGAACTGCCAGTACAGAAGATCCATGAAGTGGAGACCGACGTAATGAATTCTTTTCTTTCAGATGTAGAAATCACAGAAAATGCAGAGTCCTTTGTTAAAACGACGGCAAAAACGTTGAAGGAAACCTCTGGTAGGCACTTGCTCCATGCATGTGTCTTTGCTGTGGTCTGATCATGGCAAGGCATGTAATAAACTCTCGATGAGCCATCCCTCGTCCCTGCACGCCTCACTGCCCTGTGTCCCATTCCCTCCATCTCCCTGCTCCCTATTATTTGCTCTTTCTCTCCCTGGTTCCTGGGGCTACTGGGAGAGGACAGAGGCCGGAACAACTGTCCACATTAAAGCTCTTCTGACATTTCCATGTCTTGTTTTTTTGCTTCCTCTCTTACTAACGTATTGAAGCAACCAGCCACTAATAGTTTGAGATTCCGGAGCTCTGATCTTAAACTGAAAAGCTGCTGAAATGTTGAGGATCAAAGGTCCAGGGGGATGCTGTGGTTTAAAGCTGTGTTTGGGGGTGGTCTGGCCATGTGCACGCAGTTGACACTGGGTATGGCTTCCTGCTGCACTGTGGAGCAGTGGTGTGCTACAGCAGTGGTTCGCAATCCTCATCCTGAGGCACAGCTCTGTCTTCTGGCTTTTGCTCCTGCTAAATTCTGAATAGCAGATGAAGTTTAAATGTCTGTTTTAGGTGTGCTTTCTGTCCAAAAGGGTGTCTAGATTTTGTAATTGGCACTCCCTTTATTCAGGTGTGTTAGCTGAAATGTAGAAAGTCTGACTAAAGCAGGAGGAAAACACTGGCAATGTGCAATACATTCTCACCTGTGTCTGTTCGTTAACTGATCTCCTATTGAGAGCTTCTTATTTGGGTCTAAGGCAGCACATTATTTTAGTTAGCAAGTAAATTAGCCAACTGAGGAGAGACTGCATAAAGTTCTGTGTGATAATGTTATTGGAAATTGAATTATTAACCTCATCTTTTTAACAAAAAAATAGTGTACAAAAGTCTAAACAAGCAAGCGGATCAGGTAGAGGTACAGTACCAGTTAGCACTCGTGATGAATAGCCATGTGGAATGAAAACCAGCAGCCACAGTCAGTCCAGGACTGTGAACCACTGTCCTACAGCAATGTTTGTGGCTGCTCAATACAGTTTGATCACCGAGTGCATTTCCTTGCATGATAAGGAAATGCATAAAAACACCGCCATTGTTTCTGTGATGTATTGCTGCATGTGGTAAAATGAGTTTGCCTGGACTGAGTTCAGATCCTTAGAATCATGTTCCAAAGGGGTCTTAAGTTATTGAGTCATGGTAATTGCAAATATCTTTTATGTATCTTACTAATTTATGGTAGTGCATTGCTTTGTTTTTTATTTCTTTCTGCAATTCCTACTTCCTTAGTTCCTTCATTTTTTTTACCAGAGATGTTTCAAATTGACTCATCTGATTAAGGAAAGGGAAATTTCATTTCATTTCATTTGCAATATTTTTTTCTGCCACTGATTCCCTTGCAAATACAACCACTGGAAGTTTTTGTTTCCCCCTTCATGACTGACCAGATGTTGAGGTGGACTGAGACGAGGCGCTCGGTGCTGAGCTCCAGTGTGGTTCTGCACTATTAGGGTGCTGTGGGTAATGGTGTGCCCGTGTGTTGCAGGTAAAGCTGGCTCGGAGCCCCCCAGCTGGCACTCCCCTGAGCCCGTGGACAGCAGGAAGCAGCGCTTCCACCGAGAGATCCTCCAGGGCTTCCACTCCCAGACCCTGGACACCAGCACCCCCTACAAGCCCGGCTATGTGAGTCTGCTGCTTTCTGTTTCTTCAGTAACTACTGGCTACAGTTTAGCTACAGAACCACATTCCAAAGAGTTCATGAATAAGGTGCATGATCAGCCTCTTGCCTTTCAATTCCGTGCGTCCTTTTGCTGTTTCCAGGGTTTTTTGAACCAAGGTCAGAGAAATAGAGGTCTTTTTATTGCTCAGCTCAACTTTAAAGACGCTTGGCGTCTTTAAAATAATAATAGTTTCCAACAGTATTATGCTTGGTGCTGCTGTTTGTTGCTTTGTAATTTGGTTTTACATACCCTCATTCATCGGCTGTCTAAAGAAGTAACATACTGGACACTCTCTGTGAAAAACGGGGATTGTTGAGATTTCTGGAAGTTTTCCGTAACGCTTTCTCTGTGCATCAGCAGATTCAGCTGACTTTTCTAACTAGGGTAGATCGTAAATTATTTGGCGAGTGAGTGTCCAGTCTCCGGCACTTTCCAGGGGTCACAGCCAATCTGACACTGCCCAGCAAACAACGAGCTATTTTCGCCAGTCTGGCGATTGGGCACCACACTGTGCAGAACACAACACCAGGCATGCTATTTGATTGAGCTACGGGTGACATATCACCCCTGGAACAGGAAAACGCATATCCCCACCATTTCGTGAAGGAATTCCAGTGGCAACACCGAATAAATTTTAGTTTCCCGCCAAGAGCATTTTTATTTAGTAAATACATTTAAAACACTAAAAAAACATTTGTACAATACCTCAAAACACAAGATTATAAAAGGATGTGTAAAAACTAAGACAGTATAAAAGAGAGCTGATTTTCCAGCGTGAAAATCTGACTCTCCCTCCTACATCATGATCCACTGTACACGCAAAGCCGAGCCTGCTAACAGACACAGGGCTAACACAGATTCACTGTGAGGCAGTCAGTAATGCAGATGACCCAGCCCGACTCCTGCCTCTGTTTCCCTCGTCTGTTACAAATGCCGTACCCGTGTCGGTGTCGGGAGTGCACTGAGTGGCCACTAACGGTGCCCATGGCATTTCAGGTGCAGCTGATGTCTGAGTGCAGTGGCAGCATCGACAGCGTGAAGCGCGTGAAGCTCATCCTGAACGACGAGGAGCTGCTGCCCGAGGAGCAGGGCCTGACAGGGCTGAGCGCGGCCGACACCCAGTCAGGTACCCAGAGAGCAGCACTGTGCTGCACAGCTAGAGGCGGGCAGGAAGGGGCAAATTATTTAGTTTTGAGCTGCATCACAAGAGCAGGAGGAACGGTTATGGCATTGTCAGGCCAGAAATGGACGATAACATGTAGGTAAAGAGGAAAAAGGTACAATATGGACTAGATATTTCTGTTTTTTATTTTTTCCATTTAGCTCTGTTTTTTTTAAGGAAGTTGTTTGTAACTGACAGCTCCATGGTACCTGAATTAGTTGGCTTGTTTGTTCACAGCGGGGAAAAAAAAAAACATGCCTGTTGGGCCTGATAATTTCCCTCTGTGTGAGGGCCCAAGTAATAAGTCCCAGTCTGTCTGTGTGGTTCCTCAGGAGTGATTGAGCGCTGGGAGCTGTTCCAGGCCCAGGCGTTGAGCGAGGAGATCCGCATCAAGCAGAACCTCCAGCAGTGGCAGCAGCTCAACTCTGACCTCTGTGACATCACGACCTGGCTGGACCGGGTCCGGCCCCAGCTGGAGCAGCTGCAGAAGCTGGAGTCCTCAGCTAGCATCCGGGACATGGAGAACAACATTAAGAAGCTTAAAGTAGGTTTTCCCCATTAACTGCAGTTAGACCTGCAGGAGGACAAGGAATGCAGTGCAATGTTGGCTTCTTGCCTTAGAAGAGAACAGCAAGACATACAATACAGGTCTCTTTTTTATGTAAAACTCTTCAAGTGAAGATATTCCATAGAACCCTATAGATTATTAAGAAACCAGGAAGAACTTTCTATTTTATGCACCTGAGGTACAAACAAATAAAGATAAACTTTCAGTTTTAACTTAAGAGAATCTCAGGTCGACACTCTCCTACTGTCTGTTGGGAAAGATGTCTGTGTTCGTTTCCTTGTGTCGGAAACTCATGAAGGTGTGATGCAATTTGCAGGAGATGCAGAAAGCGTTCGCCAACTACAAGGCAGTGATGATCTCCATCAACCTGAGCAGCAAGGACTTCCAACAGGGCGACAGCATTGAGTCCCAGGAGCTGCAGGCTGGCCTGAAGGAGATGAACCAGAGCTGGGTGCAGGCGTCCAGTGACTTGGAGCACTGGGAGGAGGGGCTGCAGAACGCTCTGATGAAGTGCCAGGTACCTACAGCCGCAGAGCACTGCTGTACTGCTTCAGCTCCTCAGCACAGGCACTGAGTGTAAGAGCTGGAGTAAGGAAGTACTGGAACTCCAGAACTGGAACGGTTCTGTCTGCAGGGATTTCGCATATCTAGTTTTTCCCATCATGTGCAACGAAGCAACGAAGCTTGTTGAAGCAAAGAACACAATTCAGAATTCTGGTCTTTGAGTACCACTGGGCTGTTGAAGAACTTTGCAGGATTTAGGAGATTACAAAAAGACAAGATCTTAACAATGTACCGACTTATCTGAGCACCTTTTGGGTGGCTTCTTGTTTTAAAGGAACTTATTTGATCATTTTTCATTTATTTGGCTGACACTTTTATCCAGAGTACTTGGCTGTTCCCAAGGTGGCATTTTACTGGAGCGATCTTCATGAGGTACCTTGCTCAGGGGTACAGAAGCAGTGCTCCAACCAGGATCAGGACCCACAATCTTCCAATTAGCAGACTAGAACCCTAACCACTGCTTCCCAAATGCATCATTTTCTCTTACGCATATCATTCATTCATTTCAGCTTTGAGACTCGCTTTGTTCATTTATCCCGTGGCCTATGATATCTGGATATGTGTTTCTTTAAAATTTGTTTCTCATTTAAGACTTTTTGTTAGCTGTGTAAAGGTGTTCATGCCTCTGCGTCACACTTTCTTGCCATTAACATGTTCATTCATGAATTGTACTGGCAGGAAAACCCACAGTGAGTGTCAGTGCAGGACTGTGTCCTTTATAAGGAACGGCTGCTGCTTTAGAGAAGTGTGACTGGTAAGCCTGACAGCTGGTTTGTCTCCACAGGAGTTCCACGAGACCACACACTCCCTGCTGCTGTGGCTGGCCCACGCCGACAGCCGGCGGTACGCTCTGGACATCCATGACCCCGCCAAGCATCGCAAGGCACTCCTGGTGAGGCAGCTCTTCCAAAACACGCTGTAATCTGCAGGCAATAGGAATACACAGGGAAAAGGGACTAAATTCCAGGAAAACAAAGCTCAGAAAGTAAACTTTTCTTACAATCATTCTCTTAATTCTCCTCTTCTTTCCTATTTGTCTCAAGTAACAGCCTAAGAAGAGGTTTTGTTCAACAGACTTTCATTTACTGTTTGCCTTTGGTTAATTAAATTTAATAGGTTAACCTTCATTGTTCTGTACCACAGAACCTCCCTCAACACTCTTTGTGCTTGCTTTCCAAAGCCATTGAAGTGGTTTTGTAAACTGACCCTGACAGAAGCTGTGCGACTATGACTGGCATGAGCTTGCATGCATACAGCTTCCCTGCTACTCTGTCCAAGTCCAGGCAGGTGTAGGCATCTGGAGAATATGGGGACAGAGTGGAGAAGGAATACCTTTATGCCCAACATTTCCCAGCTACATAACTTTCACATTAAGCACAGCGGGAGAAAAGACATGGATTTTAGGGCAGCTGTCCTTGTAATTATCTGTGAGCCGAATCATTCTCCAGCACAAGCACATATCTTTATTTGCAGCACTGCCCAGAATGGATATTTTTATAATTGTTTGGCCACAACAACCCACTATGTACTGGATCGTCATCCAGCTGCAGTCAGAATAAAGTGAATAAATAAAGTTGTGCAGCTGCCTCACAAACAGCCCAGACAGGCCAAGGTTTTACATCAAGGTTTCAGAAGGTGATTTATTTGCTTAAATCCTTTTTTTTTTTTTACGATATGAGCCTGTTTAGTGTTTCAGCGCCGTTTAGTTTTAGAGTCGTTGGCCTTGTGTGGGAGCTCCATTTCCAATGCTGAAAGAATTCACCTTCAGTCCCTAAGGGATTGGTGAAAGATCGGCCTCAGTCTTGCAGGGCAAAGCCTCTTCCCGCGCAGACGTTGGGGAGCGCCGCGGCCCTGCGGTGCCTGAGCTGACAGGAGCGCCCCCCTGTGGCCTGCCCTTGTGTTGCAGGTCCTCGAGGCGGAGCTGCTGGAGAGGCAGCAGCAGGTGTCCTCCCTGCAGGAGATCTCCGCCCACCTCCTGCTGGGCCCCGGGGAGGAGGACTGCACTGAGGCCAGGGAGCGGGTGCACGTCATCGCCAACAAGCTCAAGCTGCTGCTGCGCCAGGTGGCCGCGGACCTGCAGACCGCGCAGGGCAGGCTGGTGCGTACCAACCCGGCGTGCCACCCGCGTCTGCCGAGCCTCTGGCAGGGGGCATCAGCGTTCAAGACGCCTGCCAGCCAGGATTAAAGGACTCTCCTTGACACGGAGATAAAGACAAGAGCTGAATGTGGTGGAATCTGGCCTTGTTCGTGACGCAGAGTCTGGTCACAAGCCCTCATGACGGAGGGAAGCAGATATTCATACCACAGGCAATGAAAAGCTCTGGGAAAAGAGAGCCGTTCAAAGGCTTTTCTATTTGATTTTTTAGGATTGAGAAATCACTTGCGTCATATTTCACTAGGACGCAAAGCATATTTCACTAGGACGGAAAGCTAGCTTTAACAATTCAGGAAAGGTCTATAATCAGAACCTCCTAGAAATTACTTTCCCCATTTATTGCTCTTTCATTCATGTACAATCGCATTTGATTATGAACTGCCCAAAATTCCAGGGAGCCAGAAGATGGATTAAGATAAACACATCTTAAAATTGTTTATGCATTTATCGACCTGAGCTTAAATGGAGCGATTCATATTCATTCGCAGGACTCGTGCTCTCCCTTTGAGTCAACCGATGAAGAAGACGGTCTGGTAGCAGCTGGCACCTTACTTTCCCAATCTAAAGTAAGATTTTTAAAAATGTCACCATATCGTTCTTATTTGGCAAACAGCACCTCTGCTGTGTTTTGTTCACCAAGCATTAATGTCACTGTGGTGTGTGTGCAGGACACCAGTGGAGAGAAGTCAGATGCTGCCCAGGCTGGAAGCAACAAGTGAGACAAGTTTCCTTTTTCTGTTTTAAACCCTGTGCTTGTATTTTACTGACCTTAGCTTAAAATCTGTTTTAGCATCTAGAGAATTATTTCCCGAGACCATCAATCTTCAGCAAGCTGTTAGATCTGTGGATTGTAGATTTGAAACATTCCTGCTTCTGTTTTGGAAAATGTATTTGATCGAGAACTGCACAAACTCATAAATTTGGAAACGTGCAGAGACAACACGGCCCTAAGTACAGATATTTAATTTTGTAGGAGTACATTTTACATACAGCACACAGCAACACCATGGCCGTAGTTCTTTATTTACCAATTAATGTGCAACTGAGTGGATTGAATGCTCTGCGCAAATATTGAGTCCCCAGCTGGTGTGAAATGTGCTCCCATTTTTCTCCTGCGGAGCAGTTCTCCCAGTACAAGTCCCTCTTCAAGTCAGTGCAATCCCAGATGCTGTGGAACAGCCTGTTGATGCACATCATTCCAAAGCGATAAATCCACATTTGTTACAGTGAATCCCTGCCAGCAGGCCTCCCTGCTGTCTTCCATCGACATTGCCAAACACAAAATAAATGAAATGTTAAATTCAGAGGTAAAATGCTTTTACATATGGTCAGTGAGGAGCAAAGCACCTGCTCATCACATGTATTCAGAACATGTATGGTACCGACAGCCCCCCCCAGCTCTCTTTGTGCAGCAGTACAGTGGAACTCAGGTGCTGCTCTGGTCTTGTTGTGGTAATGCTGTGTTGTTTCTCAGGGGGGGTTGTGCTGATGTGTGGCCTCTCTCCGCAGGACGGTGAAGGAGGAGGGCTCTCCCCCACGCTCCTTCTTCTACCGGGTGCTGAGGGCGGCCTTCCCCCTCCACCTGCTCTTCCTCCTGCTGCTGGTGCTGGCCTGCCTGGTGCCGCTGTCGGAGGAGGACTACAGCTGCACCCTCTCCAACAACTTCGCCCGCTCCTTCTACCCCATGCTGCGCTACACCAACGGCCCTCCGCCCACGTGAGACCCCCCCCCCGGTGCCCTCGCCAAGCTGTCCTTCTGAACTGGTCCACGTCTTCACCCTCCTCCCGGCTGACGAGCGCAGAGTCCTCACCGCTCACAGACACGTTGGCCAGTGCCGGCAAGGCTCTGATTCTCCCCCTTCACCTGGAGAGTCCTCTCCTGTGGTGTTGATGTCATGTTTGGGGGGTCTGAAGTCATGGGCGAGTCACAGAATCACTGGATCAGCTTGGCAGAGCTTGGTACTCAACTGCCTCACCTTGAAGCACCTTGGATCCCTATGGACTTACCTCACAGGGCGCCCTGAGGCTGCAAAAGCCTATTCACAGCTGATACTAAACCATTTTCTTTTTTGTATGGCGCCTAGAGAGTAGCCTCTATTTTTAAAATTTTGTACGTACTGGGTGTGGCTGGAATGAGTGGTTCTGTTTTTATTTGTTTTAAAACGCTCTTTTGTCCCTGCAGCACAGGGAGCGTGTATCCCCCACCGGCTTCCATTTTAGCCTGCAGCTGTATTATGACCCAACTGGTGAATTATGGCCCAACTGGACATGCATAGTATTTTCTCAAGTATTTTAAAGCTGATGGTTTAAAAGTAGTCTTTTCAAGGCAGGAATTTAAAAAAAAAAACATAAAATGATTTAACGCAATTTTGAAGAGAAATGTTAAGCGTGTCAAGTTATTCCACTCCTTAGACTTGCTAGAAGGAACTGGAGTGAGGGTGGACTGCTTTGTTGGATATCGGGAGGCTCTGTGAAGTGACAGAGATGCACCGCTAAAGCCAGTGCAAAAATATCCAAAGTCCTTTTTTTTTAAAATTTGGTTTTGAATCAACAGTTTAGCATTTTTCTTAAAGTAAAACTTTGAATACTATACACACATAATGATAAATTTTGTTTAGGCTGTAATATTTAAAAAGGTTTAGTTAAGAATTTGTGATTGTAAAGAGCTTAGCCTCCTTTCTTCAGAGATTAAGAACAAAACATTTATTGACAGTATTGGCATTAGAAAGATCTGGGCATATTTTTTCTTCTGTTTTGTGAGCCAAGCCTGGTTTTAAATTTGTTTTCCTCCTCTCATTTCCAGCAGTGCTCAAGAGTGAACTTTCAAGGTGACAAATGGGAGGCACTGTAGAGTGTAAAATGGAAGCTTTCACTGGGCTTATGAAGAGTTTTCTAGTTTAAGTATTTATGTTGATTCCTTTTTATTCGCATGAGGTCTGGCACGCTGTACCGTACTGCAGGACATTTAGTTTTCTTTATGTTGCAATTAATGGCACAAAGTGTAAAAAAGTGTAAAAATGGTGGTGTCTTGAACATTGTACATTTTCTATCCTGCATTACTGTATTTAGAATTTCTATGCCAACTGCTGCACTGTAACAAAAAAGACTAAGGAGTTTATAGAAGATGGTGTGTACAATATTTGATTTCTATTTTAAAACTATTTATGGGATGTACAGTGTAAACTCTTTCTACTTGACAATAAACATTGTTTGCCATGTTCATCATGACAGACCTGAATGTTCTTTTCAATGTGCCCACAATCTAGCTATTACGCCCACTGTGCAACAGATGTTTGGGTATATGAACAACTGTCATTTTCAGTAACCAGTTTAACATTACAGGATACAGGTGAGCAGGAGTCTAACCTGTCAGGAACAGGCCAGATCCTGGCTGGACTTCATCCTGTTCCAGTACACCTGTATAGCACAGGTATGGAAGAATATGGGGGAAGCAATTTAGAGAATTATTATTTGGACATAAGGAGAACATGAAGACTCAATGCAGAACTGTAAGGCAGAAATGCTATCTACCATGCCATTTACAGATATTAATTTGCTATATACTGTATAGTAGATACTATACATGTAATATGCAGTACAACTAGTGTGCAATTATAGAGTTTGTGTATATTCTTTTTGTACAGTAAGTAGACAGTAAACCTTGCTTGAAACAGTGCAAGTCCTGAAAAAAAGCAGGAGGAGCCATGTGATTGGAACTTGGAGTCAAGGCCACTGGTGAACAGGATAGTGTGATAGGAGATAGGTGACAGGAGCCAGGGGGCCAGACTCTTCCTTCTTCTGGATTAAACTGCTGAGATAAGGTTTCCATGGCTGCGTCTGTTCCTGTTCCTAAATGCACATCTGTAACCATAGCTCTGCACCTCATACAAGGTCAAAGGCCTGTTTACATAAGGTAATTTAACATCTATGACATCCTAGATCATTTATGTTCTAAAATATCTGCACTAAGATATAGAGTGTTATTCTCTGAAAGGACCATTAAATAGGATTATTCCTTACCTTTTCATGCTTTAAAGCAAGAGAGAGTTTAACATTTTTTTCAATTTGATTTTCTAAGACCCCAGTTTACTTGAGGTGTTCAATATCAAATGAACGCAAAGAAGAAATTGAAAACATTAAAAACTGAGAACAGGAGACACTTCTTTACCCCTATGGTTGTGAGAGTCTGGAACAAGTTACCCAGCCCTGTTGTTGAAGCTGATGCCCTGGTTTCTTTCAGCAGCATGGCTTTAGATGGTAGGATGAAGCTGGTGCTTCTAAATCAGTGATTCCGAATCCTGCACCTTAGGACCCAAACAGCTGGTGGTTTTCATTCCATCCCGCCTTAATTGGGTAATTGAAGCCTTGATTGATCTAAGTAGTTGCTTCATTGGAATATTTGTGTGTTTTTAGATTTTATTTCACTAACAAAATACAATAGTTCAAGCTCTGCCATGTTTAAGAGCCGGGAACAAAACAAAAAATGATCATGAAGGGTTTGATGGTGTAAACTGAGGGCTCAAATGGAAGAAGAAGTCAACAGCTGTGTGGGTCGCCAAACTGGAAATTACTCCCTTCAATTGTCCCCGTGTGCCGGTATCCGACTCAGAGTTTAGTCCTGCCTTGCAATCTCTTCTTCAGTGATAGCATTCAGCTTGCTGCAGAACAAATGACTTACTGATAATGGATACTGTATAACCCCTGTGGAATTAGTTATTCAGCAAAATGTCACAAGTGATTATATAGTAGAATAAAGAAAAAAGTGTCAACTCTGATGGTCGTTGTTCTGAAAATAAGGAAACAGATAGATGAAATTCTTGAATCAATTCACTACTGGAAATGGCTAGATGAGATGCTTGAATCAATTCACTACTAACTACCAAGTGGATTAGATGCACCAAAGATCCACCTCTTGTTTGCAACAATTTCTATGTTCCTTTGCGCTATGCTGCTGACTTGTACTTTGCATTCACAGCAGCCAACCTGTGATTTGGAAGTCCTGTTCAGACATCCTACTATATGTGTTAAAAACCTCTCAATTCAGGATGGCCATTTCTGTGCCAGGTTTTGCTATGGAGCAAAATGGCAGAAGCATAACAGAAAGTGTTACATTACCGTAGTGCCTAAATCTTAATGCCAATAATAAAATCCAGCGTGCAAATGCATTCCTTTTGCTCAAGCTCCGATGTGTAATAGTTCAGCTATTTTCCCACATAAATTACCTTCGGACACATGAACATGTAAGCTAGGCCAAAGCTCAGATCACAAATTCTTCTACGAAATTACAGAAACGCAATCCTTAATTGAGTGCAGTTTTTGTTTAAATGGTATGTATTTTAATACAAAAAGTAGAGAATTGATTTAAAATAACTTTTTAAATGTAAACGTAATTTTAAAAAAATGTGACAGTGACAGACTGTACAGCACGTTCCTGAATCCAGAACATTTTTTTTATTCCAAACATTTGTCAACTAAATTTTAAAATATTATGTTATATAAGTATTATGAATGTATAACAATGTATGTTATGAATTAACACTGTAGCATATACTGTATATTTAGTAGGCAGCATTTGCAATGTGCTTAGAAGAATTTGGAATGAATCTGGGGACGTATTGTTCATTAGATAAAAGTACGCTTTTCCCCTTTGATCATTAGAAAAGGGGCTGGCTGAGCTGAGATGAGACAGGAAGAACTGCTTGGCAGCCCCCTATCTCTAGACCAAAAATGCTTCAAGGACATCATGTATTACTGAAGGCTTTGAGTTGAACTGGCCAGAGCTGTGCGGCAATCTTAATAAAAAAAATAATTTTCCTTGACAGCGTACAAATCATGGCTGGAAAGGAAGAACACGATATACCAATTTGTGCTTTCAGTACTAGCACTGTATAAAGCCCAGAGATCCTAGACAATGTGCACTTCCACAGACATTCATTTACTCTGCTGGAGACTAGACAAATCAACCACACACAGCATCTCCACTCTTCCATATCCTAGTCACACACTGTACACTGCCCCCACCTCAGAAATTCTTCTCAATTAACATGATTCCTGAGAATCCCTCAGATTAAGTGTTGGGAATGGGATTCAGTCCCAAAGGCTAAGTATGCTAATGTAGCCCAAGTACTGAACGGTACTGTACAAGTACTGAACGGTACTGTAATTCTGCCTTGCACAACCACAGAGTACCCAATCCTCTTACCAGTGCTTCTAGTGTCCTGTCTGTATATTGATAAATTTGTTCTGGCAGATAAAAACACTGATGCAGTCAAACAATCTGAGTCACATACTGTACAAGAACCTCAAGACTCCCATCACTTTTACCAACTGAACGAGACAAAAAACTGATTGTATTCTCTTTGAATCAGACCATAGATCCTGGTTAGATTTTAAATGCCTGGACACTGCTGATGCCCGGCAAGAGTCTTAATATGAAATGCATACTTTCTTAATTAAAAGCAAGTTTGCTTGCTGATGCAGCACCCTACTTGAACCTCTTTCTTAATGAAAGCCTTCATCAACATTGACAAATCATTCAAACAGCAACGACAATAAGATTTCGTAATTCATTGGCTTCTCTTTTCAGCATGGAATAAACCTTTGCTTGTTCCATGAATATACAGATACATACATTAGTTCTTTTCAGTATTTATAGTTCTTTGTAGATGTACTGTGTTTTACATTCCTGTTTACTACAGGTTCTGTCTTGTGAGCTGCCTTCAGTAAGGTAGATGCTTCACCTAAAAGCCTGAATTGTTACATACCATTTTATTAATGAAAAGAAAAAAAACTTCTTAACTTCCCATGGACACCGAATGTTTCATGCAAAGAGACACATTTATTCTGTTATAAATGAACTCTAGCAATGGGACCACGAATTGCCAAGAACTGTGAAACAGTTTCATAGATGGAAACTTTGGAGAAAGCAAGGAAGATAGAAGATCGAATTATGCTTTTTAAAATTTTTATTTCACTCCTCAACATTTACCTGTGTGTGCACATACTGTACATCTAGTTAAACACACATCAGTGCTGGAAAAAAATTAAAAGTCAAAAGTGTAAACAAAACACATCAGAGCCAATAACATTGTCAGGATTTGCATAAAGAGTAAGCTGTTTGCTCTTCAAGTACACAAAAATATAGTTGCGGCATTTTTCTTTCAAAAGGTTAACAATTTCAATATGCTCCTTGGAATTAGTTTTATTTATTATGTATACATTTCCAATATTCACCTAAGCAATTTTTAAAAGCCTATGGTTTGTTGCTCTGAGGATGACTGTCAGAGCTTTTTACTCTAGATCATAATCTAATGTCCTTTTTAACTTCCAAATAAAGCAAAGGTAAAAATAGTGTTTCAAAGGTAAAACCTGTCCACTTAGTAAGACTTAGGGAGTTATGACTATCAGGTAATGGCATAGTATAGCCTCAACCAGGCAACATAGACTGTAGACTGCAACCAATTATGAAATTGAGAGCTTTTTAATTACTGGGTACAGAACAATTAACTGAGATGATTCCCTCTTCCTTATATTCTAGGAAATAATTGCTGTTGACAAGTATAAATGCATGTTTTAAACACCAATATACAGATTTTTAGTTGAAGAGTGGAATCTCTCAACTTCATTACCAAGCTGTTTCATTCCAGTCCCTGCTTTTCACAACCCCCTGGTCAAGGGATTGTAAAATGCACATGAGACAGAACTCACAGCATACCTGAAACAATTGAAATGGTTTCAGCATTTTTACTCTGTAATGCACTTGAGCCTATTAATTCCAAGAGGCACACTGAAAATGCAAATTATGCTTTTTCATTTTGTGGTCAGTTAAAATACATTTACATTGCATTTCAAAATAAAATCTTTGATTGTGCATTTATATCTCCACAATATATCTGTAAAAATTTCTGGCAAATTTATAAAGTTCAAAATGAACAAATGTAATCACCCTGCGCCATGCAGCAAGATTAACACATTCAATCTATCAAACACAGGAAATAGCTAATTTTTGGTTTTGACTGTTTAAAATACACTTTTTTTGCTTTGAAAGAGCAGCAATTGGCATAAGAACATCTAAACATTTACAAAGTAATTGAAAGTAAGTAGACGGTATAATCGTTCAATCCTTTGGCATGCTTTAAATAAGTCACTTTTCATTTTCACTGTTGAGTGGGATAATTGCAACAGAGCAGCTGAAAACATTTGAGATACATTTTATACACCTTTTTGACAGCAGACCATAATTTACACTTCATCAAGGACATGGCTCGCCGTGCACAGAGCCTACAGATGTCGTTACAGCCAATTATCACAGGGATGAGGCACGACACAACAACAATTTAGAACTCATAACATTTTTGCTTTTAAAAAGGAAAAGAAAGCTGTGTCCTTCTGTAAAGCATGCTGTATAAAGGACTATGCACCTGTTTTAGGAATGTTCTGATATTAATGGAATCCATCCATAAAAAAGTTGTACAAATGTTTTTTTTTTGTATTTTAATCCATGCTAATTTCATTTTGAAAACATTAAAGGTCTTTTCTGATAAGATTGTGGATTACTTTACTCCAGGATAAAACAACCACAATTGTGCGTTTCCTTTCCCTCCTCCAACATAATAAAATAAACTTTGATGTTTTAACCTTGAGGTTCAATGCTATATAGTACATTAACTTTGTGAAGAAAATAATTGTGTTTTTCCAGCCTAGCAGTCTATAAGCAATTAAGCACACCAATGTAGAAGCCTCTGTGTCCTACTGGACAAACAAGTCAGCCACTAGAAGTTTTTCACTCATCTGTCAAAACTTTTGACATGACAAGCATTTTAGGATAAATGAGTCATTTACTGGAAATAAACTAACCGCACAACTATGGCCCACAGATCTCTTATCTACAGATGGGGACGGGTAGGGAGGACTGCTGGCTTGGACATCTTTTTAAAAGCACATGCATGCCAATTATGAAATAAAGAGCTGTCTGACATCAGGATATTTCTCTTTCTCTACAAAACCATTTATTTCATCCCCTCTGGCTTCAGAGTGGTTTTAAAAATGATTGAACATCAAATGCCATCTGTGACATTAGGAGTGTACATTACTCCAACTACACAAGAAGCACAAACAATCCTCATTACCAATCTGTCTTTGTTTTTGTTTGTTGTTAACTTGCAAAGATAAATACGTTATACTAAACACTGTTAAAGCTATGCATACCCTTTGCATACCTTTGCATTCAAATTTCCCTTTTATATACAGTATGTAGCTAAATAGTACTGTTTCTTTGTAAACAACTGTATAATGCAAAATAATGTACATAATTATTTTCCGTAACAACTTGCGGTTTTTCAAAGGCTGTCCAAACTATATCTTTCTAACAGTCCAAAACTTCAACAAACAGAATATTGAGAGGCACTGGGTGGAGTTCTGCTGTGCCTCGGAATGACATAGGAAAAGAGCTCACTGGGGGAAGCAAAGAGGTTCTTTAACTATAGGGACAGAGGTCTGTGCTGTGACACCAGTTAGAGCCATAAAGCTTAAGAAGCTGAGCAAGGTGTTTGGCCAGAGACCTCGATGTCTTCTGGGAATCAAATAATCGTCTACATCGTTCAGAAAGGAGAAAGTGAAGAGCAAGTTAGTGCGTAGGTGTGTTATTTCCTCTTTCGTGGACTGAGTGAATCTACAGTAAGTTCCTAGGGGGGATATTTGCCATTTTCAGAAGGCCGTGCAGCTGTCTCTGAGAGAAAAGCTCTTACACTCCGTCGTGAAATATTCACAGGTTCCACAGACCAAAACTGCCTGCAGTCCTGAACTTGTCCACCTGACATAGCATTTGGTTTCTGATTGCCAGTTGTGTCTTTTTTTCGGCTGACAACAAAGAAGCAAGAATGAGGAAGTGCATAAAGGCTCCCCTGAAAGCCGCTCAGCTGTGAAACACTGAAAACCTTCCTGATTCTTAATATGACCAATAGGGAGAGTGGATGCACCCTGGTGTTGTGCATTGGAGCAAGGTACAGTAGCAATATCTCATATACAACAGAGTTAATAGGGAAATTGACAGGAAGTACTGTGAAATGTTGGAAACTGAAGTCCCAAATGCTATTTTAAAAAAGGGGCTCCAGCCTAATGTGAGGGGGCATTAGGAAAGGAGTATGGTAACAAAGATCTCACCGCTCAAAAAACAAGCAAATATTTCTTAGGGAGTCAGCTGATGGGTGGGTAGCCAATCAGAGATCAACCTTTCCATAAAATTGATGTAATTTGCACTACAGTTCCAAAGAAACAGAGAGATAGGACAAGACGTGCAACTGGGTGGTAGGAGATCAGCGATGGCACTTGCAGCGTGCTGAAACTCGACTGAGTAAACAGAGCCGGAATGATTTTGTCACACGAGTGCCTCTCACAGAGGTTCACTTTGGTACTGCTGCTTCTGCTTCCTGAACTCCAGCTGCGATACCCCAGCGTGATCCAACCTCTACACCACACCAGTACATGAGAAGCACTCAGCACCACACTTCCAGCTTCCCTGTTTATGTCTTCTGCTGTCTGAATGGGAAAAACATCTGTAATGACCTTCTAGGCTGGCATCAAATTACTAAGCAGTGCAGATGGGACCAGTAATCACCAGGGATCAGACACATTCATAAATACATTTTAAATGCACAAGTATCAGAAAGCACCTCATTTTCCAAGTTTCAGCTTAAAGAAACAGATTACTCATTCTGTTCTGAAACAGTACCATTGATACTTTGTATGTGCATTTAACTCATCCTTTACAGAATCCATGGATTTACTGATGCACAGTAGAATCATTTCAAAGAGGAGAGAGAGATAGGATTACTCTGAAAGTGCAGAACCTATCGTAAAATCCATCAAACCTATGTTTAAAGGTGTGGAAAAAATGAAGCCCTGTATAATTTTACTGACATACAGTATTTCTGCCCTAGACACCAATGTTCTCCTGTCCTATTTACGGTTAATAACAGGGATGAAGGAGGATTAAGGCATTCAAAAATAAGTCTGAATTTCTCTTCTTGAATAATTTGAACAGGTACAAAAAGATTCCGGCACTATTTAATATGCTGGAGGGCACAATATTCTCTGAATTCTTTGTACTAAAATCCCCCTGCAGACGACAAAATGTGTCACATATTTTCTACGTAACTCAAAGTAAACTCTTTATCTTAAATCAACCTTTTCCCTGGGTTATTATGAGAGCTTCGCTGTTATGAAATAACAGTCTGGATTATAAGTAAAAGGCTGCGTTTTACCTCAGAAACCTGCAGCTTTGTTCTGCATTTAGTCTTTTTTGAACACAACTGTCATGTTAGCAGTGTCCTGTTTCACAGTTGTACCTTAAGTGCGATCAGTCTGTTTTTGATACAGGCTGCTCTCAAGGTCCATTCTCAAGGATTAATCCGATTTACCTGGAGAGAGGAGGAGAATCACCAGCATTATTTCTCTTTCTCATTTTTTTCAGTTTTATCAGAGCCGAGACCAACACTCATATGGACAATACTCAGACCTACCGTATTTTATCCAATAACATCTGATAAAACTAGTTAAAACTATATTTTGATAATCTAGTCATATTATAATAACTAGTGCCTGAAGGACATTTTTTTAGCATTTTGCAGAGGCGGCTTTTTTTTAGGCAACTTGAAACCCACCATCAGTCTTGAAACTGGGAACTTGCCCCTGTTAAGTCAAACGCTTGATAAAATGCATTCAAAAATAATTTGAAAAAAATGACGTTTTAATTGTCTAGGATAAAGGCTGGGCATTGATTCTGATGCACAGAAACTAACAGGCGAACCCATGAGGAAGACTGCCGGACAGGTCAGCCACACTCACAGCACGGGTGTATCCTTGGACCCATCCGCAGACTGGGAGAGGGGCTGTGCACAGGGGTTGCTGGCCACGGGAGGGCAGATGCTTTCCGAGGGGCTGTGGTGCATGGTGGCGGGCATGGGCACATGGGAGCTGCGCACGATATGGGCATCCAGCATCTCCAGGAGAAGATCGTAGAGGGGCACGACGTTCTTCCGTTTCATGCTGTACAGGTGCTCCATACCTTTGTTACTGAGGATGCACAAGAGAAGCACTTGGGCAATCTTTTCGAGAAGCGTTACAAACAGGAGACAGAGACAAAATGGGATTTTGGGGGATACAGTTGCTCGAATAAGAGGGTGAGCTGCAGGTATAATCACAGTCGGGGTGCTTGTCCTGGCCTTGATTCTGTTTGATTTCTGCCTCTTAACAGGGGCTGAGTGACATTGTGGTCAGGTGAGGTCGGAAAGAGGGATATTTGCCAGCAACCAATCCCCACATTACCTATGGGGAATGCTGGGGGTTGCGAGAAACTGAACATAAAAACTAGTCAAAAGAGAGCCGCGTGAATTATACTGGAAAACATGGGATGTGATGGATGAGAAGGAGAGGTTTTCCTCTGAACCTCTTGAGGCAAAGGTTTAAGACTTAAGGTTATCTGCCAGTAGAAATTCCAATCCAAAACATTACAGGCCCCTAGGAAGAAAGACTGGGGGTGGAAGTGAGCTGGTGTCTCTGCGTTACAGGTCCTTGACTGGCTCTTTCAGCCACAATCACATTGGCCACGCTTCTACTTGTTTGGCAAAACACAAAAGGTATTGGGGTTTAAAAAGTAGGCTGATGGAAACCAAATAAGAGCTCTTGCAATAAATAATGCCGCTTACAGTCAGCTTCACTCCACAGATACAGTGCTTACACAGCTCCTGCGGTGACGTACTCTGAAATTTATTGATTTCCTGTTTTTCCCCAAGTGTACAGCCCTAGCACTGCTGTGCCAGCTTGTGCTGTTCCGCCAAGGGATTTAGAAGACCTCCTCAAGGAAAATGGTATGACTACACCAATGGAATTTAGTGGCTGTTGAACTATAGGCTGATTTCAACTGAGTGGAGGAACAGAGGAACACCCGAAAGGAAGACAGGCCTTTCTGTTATGTTAGAGCCGTGGGGAAGAACTCCAATCTGGGAGGGTTGCAGTGTCTATAGGTTTTCAATCCTGATTAATACCAGGTTATTTTTGACCTAATTGAGCCAATCGTTTGCTTTACTGGACCAATTTAACTATTTTCAAAGGTCAGTCTTAGATGAAATGAAGAGACAAGAAAAGCTGCTCGATTCTGTCCCTTAAGAATCAGGACTGTGCTGCCTCTTCATGTATGTTTATAGGAATATAGAAGTATTTAAGACACTAAAAGTTTACAAGTTAATAGTTTTTAACTTAGGCCCCAAAAACTCTAAATTTCTTATTTTTAAAAAACTAAGGTTGCTGCTGGAAGAGTTGTTAGTGGGGCCAGCAAGGGGCACTCACCCTGCGGTCCATGTGGGTCCTAATGCCCCAGTATTGACGGGGATATTAAACTGTATGCAGGCGCCGTCCTTCGGATGAGACTTAAAACCGAGGTCCCGACTCTCTGTGGTCATTAAAAATCCCAGGGCGTTTCTCGAAAAGAGTAGGGGCGTATCCCCGGCTCCTGGCCAAATTTCCCATTGGCCTTTACCAATCATGGCCTCCTAAAAATCCCCATCTATGAACTGGTTTCATTACTCAGCCCTCCTCCCCACTGAGAGCTGGTGTGTGGGGAGCGTTCTGGCGCACTATGGCTGCCGTCGCATCATCCAGGTGGGGCTGCACATTGGCGTTGGTGGAGGGGAGTCCTCATTATCTGTAAAGCGCTTTGAGTGGAGTGTCCAGAAAAGCGCTATATAAGTGAAAGCAATTATTATTAACAACACACCGTCTGTAGCTGCATGTATAACATGGAGGGAGTGGTGAACGTTAACACGTACAATGTGTCCTTTAATGAAGCCATCTGGTCATCACATATCAGTTGAAAGACCAAATGGAACTATTAAAGCACATTCTCATTTTTATTATTTGACAAATTTGACTAGTGGGACAATTTGACTTCCTTAGGGGACATTGTAAGGAATGAACTACATTGGCAGGGTGAGCTCATAGCACTTCTGGTGCAAAAACATGAACTTTCATTAACATCAACTTGCTTTGTGGAATCATTTCACCTCAAGCCACAGCTGAAGCATTCGGTAAATAAGCAACATTTCTATGATAGAGAAAGTACATATACCGTAGACTATTTTTAAAGAACATAACTTGTCAGTCGAAGGTGCCATTTTAAGCTGATTTTGTGCAGCACAGGGAGTGTAAGCTGATGTTATGTTATGAATAACACCTGTGCCTGATGCTGTTTCTCTGGCTCTGGGACATGCTTGCCAGCCGGGGAGACTGTGGTACCTGAAGTGGCGGATGTGCGACAGCAGCATGAGCAGGTTGGCCAGTCGCGTGGACTGCTGCTGGAAGGACAGGCCCTTCTTGGCGATAACCCAGACCAGAGTGTCTGTCAGCGAGTCCAGCAGCTGCAGCACCTTGGCCCGGCTCTCCAGCTCCTCAGAGTTCTCCGCAGAGTTCAGGCACATGTCTAAGAGGACAGAGCAGAGACTCTCTTTACCTATCAAAACAGGAAGTTCATTTATTCACACAGGAAGTACTCACGCACGTGCAAAAGGACTTCCTGAGCCATTCACACACCAGAAAAACTGGATGCTCTTTGTCTAACGCCAAGTGAGCTACAGGTAGTTTTACAAAAATCTGCTTTTAAAAAAATCCAATATAGACCACTTTAGCGGCTATTTTCCATCCCTACCACAGCTCCATAACTTTCAAAGAACTATAATTACCTACTGGAATTAGGAAGAAAATTTCAATCTTGAGCAAGAACTACCTCAGCAAGACAGTAGATACAGTAGGCAGTTGACTCCATTAAGATGTAACATATTGTATACAGTACAAGTAGTGAATTTATACATCACAGCAATGATAGCAACTAAGAGCTTTCTAAGGTGAAATGTATTTTGATATTAATTCAAGCTTCATTAAAAATCACACCATATCGCCAGATTTTCAGAGCCTGTATTTTCTACTTCTGAAAAAAAACAAAACATTATTATATTTTTAGTGTTGGATAAAAAAAAATCAACATTGTTTTCAGCCTGACTGTCAGATAGTTTTTATGGTTATGTGTTTGTCCGTGTTTCATAGATTTCATTTGTACTTATATTTGAAATTGAATCTGAGTGCTTGTTATTATGTTGTTATTATTATTCATTTTTTTTAACATTTGTCTTTTTCCATCTGAGTACAGTATATGCTCTCTGTTTCCAACAGTACAGAACTTCACTGAGGCACAGAAAACTGTCTACATGCAGACAGGTATTTTGACTACAGAGATGGGGAATGACAGAAGATTCTCTCACAGGTTTATAGCCAGCCATCCCCTTCAGGAAGGGAAAACCGTGAGCAATTCTGAGCAACACTGCTACTGTATATTCTGCTGCATTCAGCCATTTTGAAATCTTTCAACTGTGAAAAATCCAAAAAAGTAAACTTTGGCTTTGGTAGCGCCCTACTTGTGTAGAATGTTTTAAATAACTGAGATAAAAGCAAAATAAAAGACAACAGAATGAATAGTTTGCCCTCTGGTAAAATGAGAAGCATGACTGGAGGAGTAGACCGTGTTCCTCATGCTCCAGTGCTCCAGAACCAATGTGATCTGTATAGAGGAGCGCTAAAGAACACCGTGAACTGGGTGTGACTTACGAAATAGGAAATATGCCTTTCATTTGGACTGTAAACCAAAAAAAAAGACTATGAGTCTTAGCTAAATTTTAACTAATCAATCCATCTTTTTCAAAGAGACTCCTTTCCACCCTCTTCACTCACCCAAGCATTTTTACCCGCAATGTTCACATCTTCTGCTCTAAACAGTTTTTGTTATACATCCATAACCACGTGCTCCAAATACCTCAAAAGACCACACAAAATACTACAATCTTAATGACATGAAACCACCCTAGATAACTCACAATCTCAGACACCTTAGGCACATCCCTCGTGTGCTGTCCTTCAGTTCTAGAGTGAGCTCTGGTACACAGACCACAGCGTGCAGTGTTACTCTTATGTTTGCTTCTTGCTGTTCACAAAGCAGTACATCTTTCTTATCTGTCAACACATGTCTCAAGGACACTTTATCATGAGGCTGTGCTTTGCCCATGCTCGAAGAAGTGCTGGCACTGGGGAACACCACACTAAGGAGTCCTGCACGACGCCAAGCGAGACTTACTTGAGTTGAGAAGGATCATGGCTTTGAGACAGAGATACTCTTCTCTTTGAAGCTTCAGCTCGCGGAATCTGGAGGTGGCCGCCAGGAGCATGTCGAAAATTTCAACAATCCCCTCCACACAGTTGCCTTCGTCCCTGCGGTGAGCACAATTCACGGTGAGAGATCTGTTTCACAGACACCGGTCCCGCAAGCAGAAAACCCTTCAGACACAGTTCCTGAGTTTCGTTCATCTCTTCTCTCCCACTTTTCACAGTGCCATCACAAAGACAGTACTTCTTACTCAGTCTACAAGGCTGTGGAAGAATGCTAGTTTGTTGATAAAGATCGTGAATAGGAGAGTAATTCTTTTTGTGTGTAAAAATAGCTGCACCAGCTTCAGCACTTCATTAGTCATAAAGAAAAGTCTAACTCAGCATTGCTTAGAATCCAGGTGTCCTGATTGACGTTCATGATGATAGAATCATTCATAATGTGGGAACATAACTTTAGTCGTGCTACTGTGACAAAGGGCTGTAGCAAGTCTTCATCGCATTACCTCTGTTGAGGTCTCATTATTTACTTTTCATTCTGGAAAACAATTATGGCCTTTGTTTATTTATCTTTGTATGCAAGTATTGCAAAAGCATACTGTTTTTTTCTCATCTGTGTATTGACTGTTTATATTATACTTGTTATGAATCCACACTGTTCTCCTTATCTGTTTGTCCCATCATATTGTGTAAATTTTCAGAGCCCAGTCACCTGGCCATCAGGAGGGGCTGGAGTGGAGTTTAGGGTATTAAACCTGGCCTAAACTTGTCTTAGCCTCCATGTTGTATCCTTGTCTGTGTTATTGTGCAGTCTGGATGTTTGGAGGCATGATGACTTTAAACAGGTAGTAGGAAATTCTTTGCAGATGCTGCAGTTTATTATTTTCTTGAAAGTCTTTCTCTTTTGTAAATATTTCTCTTGCACAAGAGCACTTTCAGTAAACTGACACTTTCTGCACTATTTTTGTCTCACCTGTATTTTTATGAGTTTGATGTGCCCCTCTGCACTTACTGCCTGGCATATTAGTCACAGATAGACATTTAATGTCATGAAGTGAAAAACATCTTAGTATGTTGTGATGCTCCATAGCCAGATGGAGTTACTGTTGGATAACATTGTTGCTATTCAACTGCCCTGAAATCCAAGAACAGTAAACCTCTCCAGTGTGCTTCTCTTATTTCTTAACCCACTCCCCAGCTCCAGGAGAAATGAGAGCCTGGGAGACGATCAAAACCTTTTGCAAAAATTAATTCAATTTCCCTGAAACAAAATATGAACATTTAAAGGTACAAATGTAGCAGGAAAAGTCAATGGTGTTACAGACGGAGTTACTGTCTGAGTTATTACTGATTAAAAACAGATTATTTGTTGCAGAGTCTTTTGTATTACTTAAAGAGCAAACGTTGGTTGGAGCATTCTGATCTTGGAGGAACAAACCAAATTTGGAAATATATGCATCCATTATCTGAAAGCCCCTTTTTACTGGTAAAGGACCACATGAAAAACAAAGCCCTTCCTGGCAGTAAAGGAAAGAAGGTTGGATTACGCTCTGGAAGAAAATGCCACTCCATCGGAAAGTGCACACGAAGGGTAGAAGCACTATAACATAGTCAGCACAGAAGGAGCCCAAGTCCAGAACCAAGCTCAAGACCCTGGAACTGAGAGGTAGCAGGGTTCCTGTTAGTGCCACACAAATGTGCTCCCTACATTTGGATTATTATATATAATAGGCCTACAATTTTTAATAAGTGCCTTTCAAAAAACCCAAAGCAGTCTAAAAACAGTAATGGGTACAATACATGCCAAGGTCAGAAAAGCTCACCATAGATAATCACCAGGTCTCTGTGAAGCACCTGAAACAAAATACACACCAACACACAGTCCAGAGCACAGAGGTCAACAATTGTCAGACTGCTTTCTCAGTTAAAAAGAAGTCACGGGTCACCTGTGTTAAATATTAACATTCACTGATAAAATAAAGACAGAGAAAAATCGAATACACACGTTAATAAACACGCTGGGAAGCTCAAAAGGTCTTTTGCCATAGAATTATCGTGAATGATCCTTCGAACATATTGTAAGAGGTAAAATATAATCTTGAAAATCTGTGAAAATTACGTTTGCAGTCTTGAGGGAAAATGAATGAATCTCATATATTCTAACATCTTTCAGGTGCTGACTGAAGCTGTCTAGCCTATGTGACAATTAGGGCTTGAGAAGGCTGAATGATTTCTCTTTCTAACTCTGCAGCAGCATGAGATTGAGGCAGCAGTACATCATTTCGGCACCCAGAGAAAAGGAACAGCATGTCCATGAAATATCTCGGCTTCAAAACTAGTTCTCCATTTACAGAGTTGTTTGTTCAGCTGAAGCACAATGGAGCGCATCTTCTTGTGAGCCAGAGAGAGTGAGAGGGCACTCCCACAGGAATGTGATTAGCAGGGGGTATGAGGAGCAGGTTTGTTAAACAGTCAGCAGTATATCAAGATGGCTAAAAATAAAAGCAGACCAGAACTAAAAATTTGTTTTCCATTAAACCACATTATTCATAGCCCTTAAAATCTTGCAGACAAGCCAAAACAGGACAAAATGCATAATTTCTCTTACCTCTTCTACAGAACCATTATAAAGCTCTCTACTCTCTACTCTTGAAAAAAACAAACACAAAACGATGTTTGAGAATATATGCATCTCGTCTTCTGTTTTCAAGCATCACTATTTTTATTTTTGAAAAACCAACTACATACTGTATATATATACCGCCTACAATACATACCATTACGGCAAGACGTATACTTAACTCTTCTTTACACAGAGGTTTGGATGTATTTGCCCGTTTAATGAATTATGAAACATATCAGGCCCGAAACGCTCAAACCCTTTTCAGTATTGCTCTTTGAGTTTCCCAGTAGTTATTGATTTGAAATTGCTTTACTGCTTTTTATATTACATTTAGTACAATATTGACACAAGGACGTATAAGACAAAGACATTTTACAGACTGATAAAGTATGAGACACAGGGAGATGGTCTGAGGCTCTGAGATGGTGGCACAATGGAAACGTGGGTCTCATTATCAGGTCTACAGCTTCTTATTTCACCTCTGGTTTAAATGGTCTCAAACTGGAACAGAACTCAAACTGAGAGGCTACATGTTTTCCATCTATCATCACGGGGATCCCAAACAGAACTAAGGGTTCGATCCAAATAGCACTAAGTTTTAAAAATTAATTTGACATTACGGGTGGTACAGTGGTTAACTTTGCTGCCTTGCAGCATTCATGCCCTGGGTTTAATTTCTGGGGTGCAATCTGTGCGGAGATTGTTGTGTTCCCCCTTGTTTGCATGGGTTTCCCCTGGGTGCTCCAGTTTCCTACCACAGTCCAGAGACATGCTGGTGGGTTAACTGGATTCTGGGAAAATTGTCCCTGGTGTGAAAGTGTTTGTTTGCGTCTGTGTGTGCTCTGCAATGGACTGGAGTCCCATACAGGAGGCACCCTGCCTTCTGCCCATTGCATGCTGGATAGGCCCTGACTCCCCTGTAACGCTGTATTGGGTAAAGCAGCTAAAAATGTATGGATTTTACATTATATAGACAATTACTTTCAGTATAAAATGGGCATACAGTACAAGAGTGTTTTTAAATGAAAAGCAGAACAGTGCACATTGTAACATTAGAAGAAAAAGCACTAGCTGGGAAATGTATAAAGATTGAAATACTCCATCAGTCCACAAGAGTAGGGTCTCCACAGCATAATGAAGGTTGTTGACCTGGTAACTTTACTGTACCATTAAGACTAACGAACAAATAAGTGCAGAGTTTTCATTCTGTTAGCATAGTGGGCAAATACAGACATGAGATAGCAGAGAAGGAGGCATAGTACCTGTTCAAGATGAGGTCACGAGAGAAAATGAGCTTCCCAGGGTGATCCACTGATCTCCACATCAGCCCTATCATCAGGACTTCCAGCCAGCAGCACTCCAGGAGGCGCACCTGGTCATACAGACTGAATTCCATAAACCCTGTGGCAGAGACACACACAGCCCCATCAGAGACCGAGCGCA